TTTACCCCTGGACCAGGAGCGGGTGGAGGCCATGTTGAAGCAACAGAACAAGGTGGTGGTGTACTTCACTTTGAGCCTGTTGCTAGCTCCTGTGGTGGAGACCTTAGTGCTGCTTGACAGGATGATCTATCTGGAGGAAAACGGTGAGCTGCTAGATAGTCTGGAAGGATTATTTCTTTTATAGTTTTGTGTAACTGAACCGCCCCGACTGAATATAACATTTATTATCTCTACAGGTGTGGACAGTCAACTTATTCCTCTCTTTAATCCAAACTTTTCTCCAAGAAACTTTGTCCTTGTTGCTGTGAAGCCATCCAGATATTGTCAACAAACAGACTCCCTCTAATTGTCAACCTGTTGTTTTTAGCAGTATCAAGTCAGGACGATGGATTTCAGAAGATGGATTGAGTGTCTTATGCTCGTTAGGGATTGCAGTAAACTTCATATGGCATATGAAGTTTAAGTTGATGTAGATTGTTGTGTAGAGCTCTCTAGGCAAAACTCGTAAGGAGGAGCAGTGTGTTATTTAAATGAAGTCTTTCTACCATTTAGTGAAGATGTGTTTGACATGTGGTCTTCCAAAGTTTTTCTGAGGGTTTGGTTTCAGTTTACAGAAATAATTGTTGTGACATCACTTGTTTTGTTTTCAGGGTTTTTTCATGAATGCTTCCTTTGTTTCTGCTTTGTGTCTTAACCTGAGAGCAAAAATAAAACTTTGCTTTAAGTGGAACCAGACAAATCTTGATTTATGTGTCTCTTTAATCTTGTTTACAGAGTGTAGATTTCACAACTTAATGCTGAAAGGTTTGTGTGGACCAGTTTTCTTAAATTCCAGGCAAATGTGCAGTTACATTTCAAGCACTTTAAGCATAGCAATTAATAAATAAAAATTCCAAGTTGCTGGATTCTTCTGGACTTAATCAACATCCTAAGAGTAATTCATTTCTTTCATCTTGTGGGTTTTTGATTTCACTCTTTTAAAGATGAGTCAGCATGTCACAGTGACAAAGAATGAGACTCATTTTGAAGGCACTAATGTTGATTAAGAGCAGCTGCAGCTTAAATTTGATTTGTGCAATGTATGTCCTCAGGCTTTCACAAAAGTTATTCTAGTAAAATCTTAGAAAACAGCATCCAACCACTCTTAAAAATCTGAATGTGATCAATTCCGTGCTTTATGGTGCAATTTTTTTTCTTTTTTACTCTATTTTCTGTTTCTTATTTTAGTTAGGCACAGTGCATATCAATTAACACATAAAACACAGTATTTTTAAGTACGGTAAATTGTCTATCCCATATTTTCTATCACGGCAGATTGATAATAAAATGCACATGCAAGATGCTAGAAGTGTGACAAAAGTCCCCCTAAAAGACACGCAAAAGATGTAAAACAATAAAACACAAAGGAAATACAGCTGACACAGAGGATATGTAATTTATTTCGGAGAACTTTTAAGAAGCCACACATTCCGGGCATTTTTTTCTTGTAAAATAAAAGCATAATATCTACACACCTTGCATTCTTAACAATGGGTTGCAACTCTTTGTGGACTACTGAAAACCACACTATGTTATTTACCTGAACTGTTTCACAACATTTGCCATGGAAAGAAAAAAAAAGAGCTTTGGTTCATTCTTGCTGCCTCTTCACAGAGTGCAAGCACATGTGTAGAAATTGCTCACTGCCTGTAGCAGATTAAAATAATCTTCTTCCAATGAAGCATAGACACAAAGTTTCCATTTAATTTCCTGCAACCCAAATAGAAAGATATTTGCTTCCCAATTACATAATAAATTGATTATTTGTAATTTGCAGAATTGAAAAAAGCTGTGGAAAATACAAGGTTTTGTTTGGACTGAAGTTAAAAAAAAGGTTCAAATCTTGAACCAAATATGTGTTTTTTTTTGGGTTTTTTTTCATACACACCTTGTCAGGTATGGTTTATCAAGATAATAGAGGAAATTAAACACGTGTCCCAGACTTAGGCACTCTAAAAAACATGATGACTGCAGAGCATCAGAAAATGTATTAAAAAGCACAGAATGATAGACACTTTAACAGCTAGACTTCTTTTTTAGAGTATGCTTGGTTCAGCAGTGTATAAACTTTGCAATGAAGACAAAAATCAAGTTGAAGGTGCTCACGGGCCACAAAAATAAATTTTTGTGTACAGCTTTCAAAATAAATTTTGAAAGCTGTACATTTCAATAGACATCTTTCATTTTTATCTACCAAACAACTTACTGAACATGCGTGATTTTCATGCATCTAAGTACTACTTTTTATTAGAAAGGGATTTGTAAAACATATTGACCCAACAAATAAAAGCTATTGGACGCAATGTCCTTATTAAAAGAAAGGCAGACAATTTCCACTTACTGTGAGGCCTGTTCTTATTACATTTAGCAAAAAGAACATTTAATACACTTTTGGTGCATTAAATATAAAAAGAAGGTTAATAAAACTGACAATACTTTCTGTTATACTATTGCAATTTCATGGTTTAATTTGTCTGCAGGAATTTCAAACCCTTTGTCTGCATCAACTGCTCTGTTCTTGAATTGTGGGCGGAGGCCAAACAAAATCTTTCAGAAGGCCGCAAATGGTCCTTAGACCACATTGTGGACCCCCTTGTTTTAAGTATTTGCTCTTTGGCGACACTAAAGCATTTAGTGGTATGTGCATGTGCGCATTTTCTCAGAGCTTTGTCGTCAAACATAATTTCCAGTTTTATGTAATTGTGTGATTCATTCTTTCACCAGTAAATGTTTTGGGGTCTTTTGCAATCTGTAAATCTGCCTTCTTTCATCAAGTAACTCCACCGTCATCTTCTCACAGGCCATTTTGTTTAAGAAAGAATTGAATTTAGCAGGGGTTCACATGTTGGATGGTTTAAAAAATAAAAAATTATGTACTTTGTTTACTTACTTGGAGTGCAAACAGTTGGTAATCTCTGTTGCTTTGTTAATGTTCCATCTTGAAGTTTGATTTATTGTGCCAACTTTCTGCAACCCATTTTTACCGCGTAGCTCTTCCACACAACAAAAGGTTTAATCACAACCAACTGTTGCCCACTGAGGTCCGGACGCTCTGAACTGAAACCTAATCACACACAAAAAGGAGCCTCTGATATAAAATAACATACACAGAAAAGTTTGTGAAACAATTTAAAATCTAGTTTTCAAAATAGTGTTGCTTAACAGATGTTGTATTTGAATAATTTTGGAATATGAAATTGAATTGTACAGTTATCAGTTTATAATGCTTTTCCTTTTCTTCCGAAATAACGCATAAAACCACATACTTACAAAAAGAGATAGCACACACATATTAGTTTAGTTAGAAGCTTTTCCTGGGTTTCAGTTTAGAGAGTTTTTGGAAATGGTAAAGACAACAGTTCTTCCTGTTACGTTAGAGGTGGGCTCCAACACCTGGAGCTGAACCACAACTGCAATTTGTGTCTTGAAAACTGAAAGCTTTTATACTGCTCATTCCAATAAAACAAATGAAAAAAGTAAGAGTGAAATTGATATAAAAAGTCTACTCAGCCTTGTTAAAAATGCTGTCATGACCTAAAACAGAGAAAGTATTTCAAAACTTTCTGCCCTTATTAGCAATTGTTTGTTAAAAATAACAAACAATTTTCTTCAAGAGAATCATGGGAAAAAATAAAAAGTTCAAGAACCTGCAAAAGTGTGAACAATCTGAAATGAATACTTTGTTGAATAACATTCTTAATTAATCTCAGGCTTTTTTGAATCCTGGTTAGGCCCGAACCTTCATAATATAGTGCAGCCATGGTTTTAGTGACTTTGATGTATGATTGGACTCACAGTAATGTGCAAATAGAGTACGTCTTCATCATCAACTTTGGGGCTCAAACCTGAAGGTTTAGGCTTGAATCATGTCAATGATTTCATTCTATTTTCCAAAAAGTCTTCCACCTTCTGAAAAATGCAGCTCCATGATATGATGGCACCACCACTGGATGTTAGTGTAGGTCTATGGTGTCTTCTGGTGATACTGGTGTGCTTGACCATTTGGCCTAAAGTTCAAGGTTGGTTTCATTAGACCATAACTGATTATTCCATGAAGTTTTGAGACATTTTATCCAGGCCATAATGTTTTCTTTTGATTAAAAGGCTTCTGTCATTTTTCCCAACTTCATACTCCAAAATGGAAAATACACTCTTTTTTATTAGTGAAAAATATAACATATGTAGAAAGTAGACATATGTTAAAGATAGAAGAAAGTAATTTTTCTTTTTTTTATCCATTACACAAACCTGGCTTTTTAACATGACTGTCTAAATGTTTTATGCACTTTCTGAATTGAGAAGTCTTGGTACTCTAAATGGTTAAAGGACTTTATGTGGAAACAACAACAAGCCTTTCACTTCTGCATCTCTCATGCTTACTTAACTATAACCACATGACAAAGACGCGCTGACCTTCAAAACACATTCTCCAAATGTTGCGTGTTCATCATTAACATTTTATATTATTCATGCCTTCTGATTTGATTTTATTAATAGTGACTAAAGGGACTTTGAGACAAAAAAGAGCACATTTGGTTTCCATTTGTTAAAACTGCCCCCATCACATGTACACAATGCTCTTGCTGTTCCTGAGCAAAAAGTTATTTTTCATAACACCAAAGCTTCCTTATTTTTCTGCTGAAATACTGATTTATGGAACAAATGTTTTACACCTTTCTTCAACCACAAAGCATATTATTACAAGCAGATGTGCTGCATGCCACAACTCTCTCGAGCATTTAGACTGAATACTTCAGAGAAGCCAGCATGACTGCTATTTTATTTTTAGGATCATTTTGATGTATATTTTACTAGCGTCCCTAAACCACTAATAATGGTTTAGGGACATAATGCTCATAATGTAAAAGAAAAAAAAAAACATTACTGAATTTGTACTCCTCCTCCTATAAAGCAAGGGGATGCCAGTACAACCCACCCAAAAGCTTTAAAACAGTTCAAGACTTTGTTTGAGAACCATGAGGCTATTCTTTTCGGTGTGTACCTGTTTGCTGCTTTTTCTGCAGCAGGCACAATCCAAGACAGATGGCAGGACAACCTGCAAGCCAGTAACAGCCAGCTTCTGTCAAGGTTTGGGATATACTTCGACTCCTTACCCAAGCGGGGCCCAAGGGTTCAGCCTGTACCAAGTTGGCAAGATGGTGGAGACCGCCTGCTCACCACATATCGCCACGGTCATGTGTCGCGTTGTTGTACCTGAATGCGGTTCAGAAAATGAAAGCCAGAAGAAGCCATGCCGAGCACTCTGCGACAAGGTCAAGAGGGATTGTGAGTCCACTCTAAGAGCAAAGTGGTTGTTCTGGCCGTCGAGGCTCCGGTGTGACTCATTACCAGTTTCTAACTGTGTGCAGGTTAGTTGATCAAGTTTTCACTTTAAGTTCATAGGAGGGACAAACGGAGTTTTCAAAATTAGTAACTTCTTTACCGTTTTTAACTTTGTGGTTCATGAAATGTGAGACATCACTTAATGCCAGGGGTCTTCAGCTCCATTCCTCAGGAGTTGCTGTCCTCGTAACTTTTAGATGCATCACTGTTCCACATCTGAATTAGATTGATTATCGTCAGGGCTCTGCAGAACATAATGATATAATTAAGACATTTGACTCAGATGTGTTGAAAAGGGAACAAAGGCATCATTCAACATAGCTTTGATAAGTCTTTATAAAAAATACCATTGCAAATTATTCTTTAGGTAGAGACAAGTGTGGGTGGTATTGTCATTGCATGACTAATTTGATTAAATCAATCAGAATTTATCACCTGGAGATGTAAAGTTATTAAAATAGTGAGCTCATTAATAGTATAAACCTTGCAACACTCAGTGCAAAAAAGAACAGATGACCTTTCCTCTTGAAGGCTGCAGCAGATGCAGACAGATGTATAACCAGATACCTCCATAGGATAGCTATAGGCCAAAAAGGGGAACTGAGAGATGCAGGGCATTAAATTTTCCAGTTCAGCAACACACCCACACCCCCAGTGCAGACCAAATCTAGAACCCAGTCATCCTGCTGGCCAGACATCCACCTGATGCACCAGAGCAAGACTGTCCAACCATATATCCCAAGACCATCCCCACATCGCCAGTCCTTTGCAAACTGGTACTGGTGCAGAGGCATGGGGCTGGGGGAAGAACCGTGCCACATGCCCAGCTCCCAGCCACGCCCATCCTTGTTCCGGGTGCATTCATGGGTATTTGTTTTAATGTAAAATGTTGCTATGAATGTGGTTTTGCATGACTATATTCAAACTCTTGATCAACAAGGGTGTTGAAGATTTCACCACTTGCTTCCTGGCCCTAATCTGAAGGCCATAATTTTATAACTAAAAATGTTTGCACAAGATGGGGCCAGAAAAGCAGTTAAGGAGTACTCCTTCCACCTATACACCCCACCCTGCAAAGTCCATCATCCCATCATCCCAATCATACCAATACCCATTCCAAGATCCTTAACTTGTTCATTACTCCCCTTTGTCTAGAGTTTATTTTAGATCTAATCCAAAAACTTATATATAGATATATGTATAATTTTTTTTAATCACAACTGACACTGTAATACATTTTAAGATGATCATATTTTTTGTTCTAACAGGGTGAAGACAATTCTGTGACTGAAGCTCCTCCAGCAACATGTGAGGCAATCACTGTCCCTTTCTGCTCTGGCCTGCCTTACAATGAGACCATTCTGCCAAATAGACTAGGTCACAAAACCCAAGCTGAAGTAGGCCTGGAAATACACCAGTTTACGCCCTTTGTGAAAGTGCAATGCTCTCCTCACCTGAAGCCATTCCTCTGTTCAATCTACACACCAAAATGTGTCTCAGCAAAACTCCAGCTACCCTGCAGAACACTTTGTGAACGGGCACAGTCTGAATGTGCTTCAATGATGAGCTCAAATAACTTTCAGTGGCCCAACTCCTTAAAGTGTGAATCTTTTACAACTGAGTCTTGTAAAAAGGTGAGCTTGTTGGATCAATCATAACTAAAATATAGTTCAAAATTTAGTAGAAATTTTGATTGTTTGAACTTTCTATAATTCCACTTTTTAATTTTTTTTGGTTGGACTTTCATTGATCAAATTGTGTTTCGTGCTTCAAGTTAAACAAGGCTTCCAAAATAGCTTTTATTGTTAAAGATGTTTTCAGTTGTGAGCCTCCCAACCTACAGAAATCATGTTAACCTTGGATCGTTGTTTTAAGCAAGGTTTCTACACAGTCTTGAAAAGTTTGCAAAAGTTTGTAATTTTATATTTTTACATTCTGGAAAAAAGAGAGAATAAAAAATATTTGGTTTTACAGAATTTATTTATTATTTTGAAGTCTTTATGTACAAAACATGTAAATTCATATCCATTATCTTTAAATTGACTATTGTTGTCTTGACTGGATTTTGTGGGGATCCATGAAATTATTTGATGATTCTTAGACTGGTGTTTATGACTGGATATGGATTAAAACTTCTTTGTTCTCAAACTTTTACAATCACAATAAATTGTATCAAAATTTACAATCTGTTCTTTAAACCATCTGTAGGTCATGGAGGATTGTTTTGTTCAGATTTTACAAACCTAATTGTTGTTGATTTTAAAGTAGAGCTGATTTTACCAGGACAGAATAAAAGAAAGTAAAATTATTTACCAAAATTCTGAATTGGAGGCCAAAGTGAGCATCATATTGATTCATGATTTGTAGAAAATACAGGTAATTAAGTCAAATTAGGAGATTTAGGTTTACATTTGAAATTTGAACCTGAAAAAGGGATTTTGGGAAGACAACTTAAGCGTCTTATTGTAAATAGTTGATGTAATTTATTCTCTGTGAAAATTCAGTAAGTAACTTCATCTTTCTTGTGCCAGCTTTTAGCAGCCAGGCTCTAACCACCCATGTTTTTTTTGCAGAGTGGTGACTCAGAAGCATCTCAATCACAACCAGATGTTGAGCATTCTTCACGGATTTTGGTCAGTCGGGTTGAAGTTTCCCAGAACCGACCACCTGCTGTGAGACAGCTTTGTTTTTATTGCATGTTGAGCATCGTTTTGTTTTGTGACCTGTGGTCTTAAATGAGCACCTTGTTTGTAAAACGTCCATTGGTAGACTCTTTCTCCACCTCCCAATAAAAGCAGCACACTGAGCTGAAGTTTTGGAATACGGGCTGTTGTCAAGAGTCATGAAGCTTTTATTCTTAGTGGTTCTGTGCATGCACGTTTTTCAGCAGGTGCACTCTGGGAGAGATGACAGTTCAAGCTGCAAGCCGCTAACAACCAACTTTTGTCAAAGTGTGGGATACAAAACTACCCGTTATCCAAATGGAGTCCAGGGCTTCAGCGTGCATCAGATTGGCCAGATTGTGCAGACGGGCTGTTCCCCACATGTCAATATCCTGATGTGTCGTGTCGTCGTGCCTGAATGTGGCTCAGGGGATGAAAGTCGAGTGAAACCATGCCGGGCTCTTTGTGAAAAGGTCAAGAAGGATTGTGAGCCTGTCTTAAGAACTAAACGACTCTCTTGGCCAACAACGCTTCGGTGTGAAAGTCTTCCACTGACTGACTGTGTTCAGGTAAATATCAGACGTTTCTAAATTTACAATTATGTAGGTTCTTTAATTTCTTTAGTGAGTTAGTTTAATAAATTAAGTAATTTTGTTTTAGTTTGCACATGAAATTTTAAAGCACATTAAACGTAATCATTATTGTACTCTAATGTACTGGCTGTAGTAAACCATAAAGATGCCTAAAATTTTGCAAATTATAAATGAGTAACTATAATACTACTGTCAAAGGTATTCATGCACCTTACATTTAAACAAGCATCAATATATTTTAGAGTTTTTTGTTTTTTTATGAGATAGACTAACACAAAGAAGCACATCCTTGTGAAATTGAAAGAATACATTTCATTCTTTAACCACAAAAAATAGTAACACGTGGTTTACATTTATATACAATTCCAAGTCTTTTGCTACCTGTCAAACAGTTTCTACCCAGATTTGTCTGTATTTAATTCCATTCACAATTCCATCAACTCTGACCAGATTCTCTGTCCCAGTGTGGAAAAACATCCACACAGCATGATGTTGCTTTTAGGGTGATCTGCAGTGGTAATTAGCATGCAGATCATAAAGTTCACATTTGGCCAGATTTCATCATAGCACCTTCCTCTCCTATGTTTGCATACCTCAAATGGAAATTTCTTTATTAAGCTTCTGAGCTTCCACATCACAGAGCACCTTCTCTGCTTCTACAGACTAGCTGCAGCAGACTAACAATTAACAAATACCTGTTGGAAGTGCATATCTGCTGAGCTACTACAGTACCCCTAAGATCAGTCATAAATGGCATGATGGAGGAGCATTGTTGTGATGATGTACTGAAGTGTCAGAAGAGTACGTTTCTTCAACAGAGATAGAGGCCAATTTCAAGGCGTCAATTTGCAAAGTCAAAGTTTTAAGTTATGTTTTATATTTACAAAATCTTTATAACAATGGAAAGTAACATAGTTACTTTATTGTGCTATGAAATGGCCCTTTGTGCCTAGAAAATACATAATGCCCCCATTTTACTCCTTTTTATATTATGGAAGATGGCAGGTCATTGTTGCAAAACTTTTTAAACTGTTAGATGATGGACTGAACAGAGCTCTGTGAGAAGTTCAAAGTGTAGAAATTTATTTCATAGTCTAACTTACACTAATGAGCTGTACACGCTCTCTGAGCCAATGTTCAATAGCTGGCTTCAAACCAGACTCATCTGGCCAGCCTGAGTGGGACCAGAGCTCTCAGCATCCAAGGAAGTGAAGTGGGACCAGGCTCAAAGTGTGAATGAAAAAACACTGGACCTGAGTTTGAAGGCAAGCCAGGCAGCTGGGCATAACGCATCTCTGAGGTTGCATGCAAGTCATACAGATTGCCCCCTTTTTCAAATCTCTTTTCACAGGCAACCTGGCATGCATTTATCTCTTGAGCTGCAATATGTAGTTTGTAAACTTGTAGAAGAAGGTGGGTTTGGATAAAGGGAATGTTCTGGATAATGCTCTAAACGCTACTTTTGAAAAGAAACTCAGCAAATGATCCAGAAAACACATTTCCCCATTAGAATCTTCAAAAAGACAGGAGAGCGGACAACATCATCCAACAGGAAAATTACCTAACAATACAGTCCAAGCTACAATGGAATGATTTAGCTCAATTCTCAATTATAGAAAAGATTAAGGTCCTTACCTAAATCTCATTTAGAAGTTGTGTCAGCCTTTCATACTCACAACTTGAACAATTTTGCAAATAGGAGTAGGCAAACAGTTCCGCTTTTAGATGTGTAAAGCTGGCAGATACATACTACCAACAACTACCATTTGTAATTACAATAAAGAAGCATTTCACAAAATATGACTGAGACATGCATGTGTTCAAGATGTTTACTTGTACAAAAACAACAAGGTATAATTATCCTTCCAGATCACAAGTATGTGCCACTTTGTATTGGCCTATCACAAAAACTCCCAATAAAATTGATTGACATGCTTGAGTGAAAAAGTTATAATCACGAATGATCAGTTCAAAATTAGGATCCTACTTTTAAATAAGTAGCAATCTAAACCTATTTTCTGCTACAAAAATTAGAAAATGCAAAAATGTGACACTAATTACAATCAGCAAGGCCAAAGATGAGGAACTTGGAGGAATAGATGGATAGATGATTCATGATTTCCTTTTTTTTTTGCTTCCAGGGTCCACCTGTCCCTGTTACACAAGCCCCACCAGGAACATGTCAGCCAATCACAGTCCCTATTTGTGAAGATGTGTCTTACACAAACACTATTCTGCCCAATATTCTAGGCCACAAATCCCAACAAGAAGCAGGCCTGGCAATTAATCAGTTTCTGCCACTTATAAAGGTTGAATGCTCTCCTCACCTTAAGCCCTTCTTGTGCTCAGTCTACACACCTAAATGTGTGTTAGGAAGACCTCAGGCTCCCTGCAGGACGCTGTGTGAAAAGGCCCGCTCAGGTTGTGGAAGACTGATGAGCAGTTTTGGTTTCCCTTGGCCTGAATCCTTAAAGTGTGAGTCATTTACCACAGAGTCATGTGAAGAGGTAAGGTTCCCATTTCACTGTTATTTCCATTCTTTCATTTATGAAATAGAAATTATTTCATAAATGGGAAATTTATTCCTTTGCTTCCACTGAATCTACAAAAAAAGCATTGCTTACAATGAAATAATGAAAATGATCTTGATGTTGACGTATTTCTTTATTTTTCCAGTCTTCTGTCGTTCTTGGAACATGTCAGACCATGACTGCTCCTTTCTGCAAAGACATGTCTTACACAGAAGTATTTCTGCCCAACAGTTTTGCCCACAAAACGCAGGACGAGGCAAATCTGGCGCTAGATCACTTTACGCCTCTTGTGCAGCTTGAATGCTCTGCTCATTTGAAGCCTTTCCTGTGCTCTGTCTACCTTCCCAAATGTGAGTCTGGGAAGGAACTGACTCCCTGCAGGACGCTCTGTGAGAAGGCTCGATCTGGCTGTGAGCCGCTGATGAACAGGTTTGGCTTAAACTGGCCTGAAAACCTGAAATGTGAAGCGTTTACCACAGAGTCATGTGAACAGGTATGTCTTCTGGTTTTCTACTAAATTTCAAATAGGTCTATTCCAAATGAGATGGCCTATTTGAACCCTATTAAACATGGAAGTAAATACATACTGGTATTATTACAGGGCAGAGCCAGAAGTGAACAACAGGGACTTATTTATCTAATATAAATGAGAAATGTTGCAGCTTATTGAAGCAGGGGTGCACGCAAAAAACACTCAATTTGTATTTGTGTGTGCAGTATGGAATGAGAAGCAGTGACAAGATGTGTGAGCCCATCACCATACCCATGTGCCAGCGCCTGTCCTACAACCAGACCATCGTCCCTAATCTTCTAGGCCACACAAGTCAGCGGGAGGCCGTCATGAAGATGTCTTTCTTCAGCTCTATTGTGCAGACGGTCTGCTCAGCAGACATACAGCTGTTTCTGTGCAGGGTGTATGCCCCAGAGTGTGTGGAGGGGCAAGTCCTGCGTCCCTGCAGGTCATTCTGTGAAAAAGCCAGAAGGAACTGTGAGAGTTTCATGAACAGTTTTGGTGTCTCCTGGCCAAATGAGCTGCAATGTCATGCATTCCCAGAGGAATCATGCATATCTGTAAGAAATAAATACTAAATATTAAAAATGTTGACTTAAAGGGTAGATTTTTATATTTTGCATGTAAATTTTTTTCTCTTTCTTCCTCAGGAAGAAAACACAAAAGAGGTAAGACTGCCTTAGTAATTAAAAAAAAAAAGTTACATTCTTGGATGTAAACTGTAAAAAATCTAATTCTAAATGTGGATTGAGAACACAGCTGTTTGCTGTATGAACATTAACTTCCTAAGAAAAGTGAATTGTGGATATTTAAGCAAAAACACAAATAGCACAGAAGAATATTTGACAGCCTTTGTTTCTGTTAGCTATGATGATTATCCAGATACAATTTATAAAAACATGACATTTAAAATGAAAATATTATATCTGAACATTATAATTTTTATTTTAATTTTTATGCAGAAATGTTGGCTTAGTGAAGTCTATTGAATACAAGCTTTGAGGATTTTATTTTTAATTGGCACTTTTAATCTAACAAATAAGCCTCACCAGACACATATTCTAATTGATTGAATATCTAAAGAAACCCTTTCTATATATATATTTTTAAAATTATGACAGTGTGTATTACTGTGTTCATTGTTTGTTTTCCTTCAGATGCTGAGTGACAAAGAGGTTCTTGCTAAGCTGAACGCTGGTGGCTACACAGTCCGCGGCGAATGTAAGTTTATATTCACAGTTTAACAATATTGCATAAATAGAATAGGAATCTGTTACTAATGTTTCACCCCATTGTTTAAAACAGCTCTCACTCTCAAGACTGCACACCTGCTGTTGGTGCTGATGGATGTATCCTTTTGAAATGAATATTCTGGATTTTTTTCTTTTTTCTTTTGCATAAATGTTGATTTTCTTTTGGTATTATTGGAGCCATACATCAAACGGGTTGACAATGGTTAGAAGGATTGAGGGTGTCATTGCTTTGTTGTTTTATTCTTCCATATGGTGGCTGTTTTCCGCCTAATGAAAAAAGTAAGGAGCGCCATCATGTGGGGGAGTTTAGAACTGCTGCTATTATATTCAAATCCACTATAGTTTAGCTGTGATAGTTTCTTGAAGAGGGCCGTAGCTGAGGTGACGCTGCCAACAATTAAATGCGTCCTTCTCCTGCTATTCACCTTTTACTTGTTATTACTTGTTATTACTGTCTTTTTTGTGTAACTTCTCTCTATTCTTGATTGCTGCTTCAGAACAGAAGCTGTTTCTGCTGATGGTTCTGTTAAATTATTTTGTGTTTTTCTACTGACTAGACAAGCTATGCTGACATAACTGGGAGAAAATACATGTAAGACCCTCACCAAATGATCCTCGTCACAGTCTTGATTGAACATGTGAAGTTTTTCTGTTCTTTAACTGACACTTTCAGGCAGATAAAACTGGAGACCTGGATGTGGTAGAGTTTTTCAAACTGGAGCACTATGTGGCTGGAATCAGGAGAGAATATTTGGGAAACTATGACAGCAGGGGTCCATCTACCGTCACACAAACCCAAATGAAAAAGGTGGTTGCTTCCCATGGTATGTTATGTGTTTATTATTAACATGTGCAAAATGTTCAGCAAATAAATAAATAAATAAAATTCCCTAATATTGATGCAACACAAATATCAGAAATGGAAATATATTTCTAGCTGTGCTGTTACACCACCAGTGTCAAATATAACATTTAAATGTAAGCTACTTACATTTGTAATAAATGCTAATAGGCATTTATTGGACATTTTTCTTGAAGTAAGTACCCGCACAAAATAGGATTTTTAAAATTTTTTTGGGATAAAATAGGATTTGTTGCATATTTTTCAAATTTGCAGTTGTTTTTATTTGACTAATTCCTGCTCTCTACCTTGCAGAATTCAATTTAGATGAGGCAACCTTCAGAGCGCTTTGGCTTGAATACAGCTCCAAGGGTGGAGTTAACTATGACAATTATGTTGCAGCCCTGACAAAACTTAAAATCCTTAAAGGTACTTTCATAAAAACCTTTAAAATCTTCTATGTTGCAACACTTGATATTGATTATGGTTTGGCTTTTGTTCGCATGAAGGTGCAAATGATGTTTGTCTTCCATCATGTTCTAAGCAACAGTAGGGTACATGTCACTAACAATCAGTTTACACAGTGAAGATTTGGAGTGAATTTTCGATTGTTGCTTCTTTTCTCAGATCGCTTCCAGGCTCATTTGCTGAATCTCTCATGTGACTGCAGGGTTGCAAGTTTCTCATTCAACCAGGTGAGTAGAGTCTGTTGTTTTTTGGAAAATCAGTTGTATCTCTGGTAGATTTTACCAACTAATATTTACAATCTTACAGATTTCAAATATGATAATTGGAGATCAGTCATTCCTTCATCATAGTTCTTTCTGATGAAGGATATCGATGAAGCAATCAATATCCTAATTTAATTGGCTTAAATTAGCTTTTTAGTTCATTTAAAAACATTGACTGTTAAACCTATTTACAAAGGATTTCAAATTGTGACATCTGCTATTATTTACTGGGTATTTACATTAATGTCAAAATAACTAAGGGCCAAAAAGGAAGGAATTTAATAAAGTTGTATTTTGCCTCCATAGTGTTATTTTACAGAAACTCTCCATATAATTATTCAGTTTGACATTATTTGTGTATTTATTTTGTTTATCTTCCAGTTCATGAAAGCTGCCATAATCTGAGGATCAGCAGAACTCATCAAACTCCACAACACCTCATTAGATTTGAAATAAAGCATGTAAAATACTGTGTTGTAATTCCTGAAGTCGGCTATTAGTTTATTAGTGCTTCTATAGTCATAACTCACATTTATGGGTTTACTGATTTATTATTGAAAATAATGTATTTCCTCAAACCTGAAAAAATATTTTAGTACCTGACAAAAACATCCTACTGACTCTGGGGCAATAATTTGAGGAAGAAGTTTTTACTACTAAACAGACTTTATGATTATCGATAAAAAAGATTAAACGTACAAAGAAGAAACATCTGATTGCAGCAAACATTCTGTTAGTATGCCTGCAGAAAATGTAAACTGACGTAGCTAAATAATTAAATGCAATGATCTAAATTTTTTATGGTTGGACACTGGAAACATTTTGAATCAGAAGAGAAAATATTACATGGATATTTGGAAGTGTTTATTTCTTCAATTGAAAGTCTTTACATTTCTTCATACATACATTAAGTCTTTAATCACTTGATTTGTTCTCTGCTTACTGAAAATCAAGTCATCATTATTAGTCTCAAATCAACAGATCAATTTAACACTAGGCTGTTGTATTTAATCAAAAACATTCCATCTGTAAAAGATACATCACAAAGATAAATCTTTTGTTCTGAACATGATCTGTTTTGTTTATTGTGTGATTTTCTTACTAGCAACTTGAAACAAAAACAAATATCAAGACAAAAATCTAAATACAATCTTGTTGAAAGGAACAGAAATCCTGAAGTGTGAAAAAGACACAACTTCTCCCACCCCCACTTCTCCCACCCCCAAAAAGTTTGTTTTGTTTACAATAACTTTACGCAGCTGGGGGAGAAAGAGAATGCAGTGCTATATTTTTATTAAGTCAACCACTATCTATAAGACTCGATTTGACCACAACTACAACCTGCTATCAAATTTAACTCTGTGCACCAGGATTAATCAGACCTGAAAGGCTTTGCATCTGACCCCATTTAGTACAAACAACAAGTTGATGAGAATTGATCAAGGTATGTTTGTTTTAAAGTGTAGAGGATTTCAGAACTTTTTGCTCTGAAATGACTGGCTGTAACAGGCAATTCTCTCAAGTTTTCACATGGAATCTGTAAAAATTTACAATAAATTTACAAAATGTGGCTGAGAAACAAAGACGAACCCCTTGGCTCAGTGGTGATTCTGAAAGCTGGAAACACCGGCTCTGTGAACTTGGCATGGAAGGTATGAAGGTGGGTTAGTTTTCCAGACGACACAGCAAAGAAGGACAAAATGCCACCAGGCCAGTCCAGGTAAACTCCTATTCTGTTTGACGGGGCTCCATAGATGGAAGCCATTTCATTTTTGTGCAGGCCAGAGTGACCGCCATCAGAGCACAGCAAGCTCCAGGACTCGTCATTCTTCCCAAGACTGCAGACATCATTTTCTCCTTTTCTCTTGATTCTTCTGTATGTCACTGCAATGTCAACTCTTCCTCTCCACTCAACCTCCCAGTAACAGCGCCCAGTAAGACCATCTGAACACAGCAGCTGTTCAAAGACTTCAAACCTCTCTGGGTGGTCAGGATAAGGCTGCTGCTCTTCTCCCACTGTCACTTTTCTGTTGTTATCTGACAGTATTAGGTTTTTATGAGTGCTGTTGGGGTCCAGCATGAGTTCACAGGCATCTGATGGAAAGAAAACATTTCATTATCTGCTCAATCTTTGAACAGTTCTTGATGTTTAGTAAGTATTTGCATGAAATGTTAATGAGCTTTTTTTTGTTGATTTTTATTTGTTTTTGCACAGGCCTGGATGATTTTTGCAAAAACTTTCCTTTCATACTTACACTTCCTCAGACCGGGTTTTAAGAACTGTGATCCACTTGGCTCAATCCTAAAACAAACCCCAGCAGGAACAATCAGAAATTGTTATATTAATATAAAAGGACATGAATACCTAAAAGCAAATTATAATGCATATAATATATAATTGATTCATACGTGAGAGTCTGCAATGCCAGGTGAAAGTCCTTCTGTCCTGCAGAAAAATGCTTCACTCCACATTCTTCCAGGTGGTTGTAGCTCAGATCCAACTTTTTCAAGTGACTGGGGTTTAACTTCAAGGATGAAACCAGATCTGCACACCCTTCGTTTGTGATCAGACAGCCTGAAAGGCTTTACATAAAAAAGGCATGCATTCATTTTGAGTAGAAAAATACTTTTAGAAGAATGACTGCTCTATTTAACATGGTTGGATGTGATATCGGTGTCATTGGCTTGTAATAGTTTTACTATCGGTCTTATACATATTGATTAATACTATATTTTGATTTGAAACATTTCTCTCTAAAAAAAGCCAGATAGATACTGACCTGAGAGTTTCCAGTGTGCAGTGAGGACTACACAGGCCTTCACACAGCAGCTTCACTCCTGAGTCTTTCAGGTCGTTGTTACTAAAGTCCAATTCCTTCAGCAATAAGCATTTGGACTGGAGAGCAGAAGCTAAGCTTCTACAGCTCATGTCTGTCAGATTACAGCAACTCAACCTAAAATAGCAATATTCACCAGGTGGTCAACATAATTCATCAGAGTATTTATATTGAATGTGAATGTGATGCTGTCCATCAACTTACACAGCCTTAGTGGAGTTTACAATCACTGTTAGCAGGCCAGTCAAAGCATTGTCTGATTCAAAGTATTTATTCAGGTAAAACTCGTCCAGCCTTTCCGTTGAAGACAAGATGATGTTGACCAGGGCTGCCCACTTGACAGGTGGCAGTTTGTCCGCCGGCAGCCTCCCTGGCCTTAGAATTGCTTGGATCTCTTCTACTAGCGAACCGTCTTTCAGCTCGTTCAGGCAGTGAAACAGGTTGTTGTTCTTCATAATACAGATGTTCTCCCCAATCTTCTTCTTGATGTACTGAATGGTATTCTGACTGGAGCTGCTGTCTGATCCCTTTTCTGTAATGAGGCCTCGGAGGAAACTTTGATTGTTTTCAAGTGAGAGACCCAGGAGGAAGCGAAGGAACAGGTCCAGATGTCCGTTTGGACTCTGTACAGCTTTGTCTACAGCACACTGATGGAAATCCTCAAAGGTGGTCAGAGCTGATTCCTCTCCTGCCAGCAGATTGATTCCGGTGCTGGTGAATGTCAGATGAACATGAAGAGCAGCCAGAAACTCCTGAATGCTCAAGTGGACAAAGCAGAAAACATTCTCATGGAAAAGTCCTCTCTCCTCTTGGAAGATCTCTGTGAACAACCCTGAATACACTGAGGCTGCTCTGATATCGATGCCACACTCAGTCAGGTCAGATTCATAGAAAAACAGGTTGCCTTTCATTAACTGCTCAAACGCCAGCTTCCCCAATGACTGAATTGTGTCCTTGGTCTCTGTAGTCCAGAAGGAATCAATGTCTGATCTTCCCTTATATTTGATATATTTTACTTTGGACAGAACCACCAGGAAATAGACGTACATCTCTGTCAGGGACTTGGGCAAGTCTCTTTCCTGATTGGTTTTAATGGCGTCCTCCAGAACAGTGGCAGTGATCCAGCAGAAGACAGGGATATGACACATTATGAAAATGCTTCTTGATGAGTTGATGTGAGAAATGATTCTTCCGCTTTCCTCTTCCTCTGGGAATCTCTTTCTGAAGTACTCCTCCTTCTGAGGGTCATTGAATCCTCTCACTTCAGTCACCAGGTCAACAAACTCAGGAGGGATCTGATGGGCCGCTGCAGGTCGAGTTGTGATCCAAATGCAAGCTGAGGGAAGTAATTTCCCTTTGATAAGATTTGTAAGCATCACATCTAATGATGTTGGCTCTGTAACATCTGTAAGGACCTCTTTGGTTTTCAGGTTCAGAGGAAGTCGACACTCATCCAGACCATCAAAGATGAACAAAACTTTGAACTCTTCAAAGGTGTGAATTCCTGCTTCTTTGATTTCAGGAAAGAAAAGATGAATAAGTTCAACCAAACTGATCTTTTCCTCCAACATATTGAGTTCTCTGAAGGACAATGGAAAAATGAACTGGATGTGCTGGTAAATTTTTCCTTCAGCCCAGTCCAGTGAAATTTTTTTTGTCAAGACTGTTTTCCCTATGCCAGCCACTCCCTCGGTCATAACTGTTCTGATCGGTTTATCTCTTCCTGTTGAGCGTTTGAAGATGTCTTCACGTCTAATTCTTAATTCTGGTTTAGTTGGTCGAAAGAGTGCCCGCTCAATCAGCTTCACTTCATGTTTGCAGTTGACCTGCGCAGGAGTTCCTTCGGTGATATAAAGCTCAGTGTAGATCTGGTTCAGAAGCGTTGGATATCCTGCCTTGTCCAATCCTTCAAACACGTAACCAAACCTATTATTCAGGTTAGATTTGAGTGTATTCTGAGATAAGGTTATAACACTCTCTGAAAAACAAAAAGAAAGCAGATTTTGTAATTTAGAAACATATGCATTTATGGATATGACCTGTAACACTTTCTTTTGCACAAATAATATGACAAGAAAAGAAAAATATTTGTGATTTTGTGCTTTAAACTTGTTCTGGCTTTGTTACATTGCTACGTTAATCTCAATGTATTTCATGGGGATTTCCTAGTTTTGCAATACCCATGCACAATCTGTGTTAAACGCCTTGCCTGAAGTAACACTGAAGCTTGAATCAAACAGTTTTATGATTGTAGTTATGTCTCTCAGTGAACAACAGTGAAGGAAAGACACAAACTTTTATATTAATGGAAATAACTTTGCATCCTTGTTTAATCAGAGCTAATTTAGTAGCCATACTAAATACCTGCAGAATGTTTCCAACTAACAAATATAGACTTGTAAAACTACATGAATAAAACAAATAGTTTATATAAAATATCTTACCTTGTCCTAACTTATGTTGACTCATGTTTTAACTACAATTTCTTCATATAAGATCCAACTACATGTAAAATAAAACTGTAACTTTGTTCAGAACTGTTTAAATTTGGTCCTTAAATCTTAGAATCTTTGTGAAATGAAATGCTATTAAGTTTAAGTTAGAAATGACAGACAGATCCCATTTCTCCCAAGATGACCACATGCACCAGTGAGAGGTGCACCTCAACATTATTACAAACCTTAAATGTTGGAACCAGATTTTGTTGAGGAATGGTAAAATTATCTGCTGTTTCCTGGTAGCTTCTGTGGAGAGGACACAGTTAATACCCATGGATGAATAAAACACACAAACACAAACACACAAGAGAGATAAAAATCAACATGTTTTCTAGATGTGTGCTGAGATCTTACATGGTGACTTGGTGCCATTCTTTTCTTTAAAGGGCCTACAGAATATTTTTCTTAAGTTGATTTAGTATTAGATTGATAAACTTACTGTTTAAACTCAAGAGGATAATCCCGAGATTTGTCACTTTTTAATGATTCACAGCTTGGAGAGGGACATCTTCTTTGGTCAGAGCTGCAAGAGAACAAATAAAGTACAGACTAAGTTATTTTGGCTGAAAATAATAATAATAAAAAGAATACATTGAATTAATTTAATTTAATTAAAAGGGTTCAGACAGACAGACACTTCTCTTGTAAACTGTCTGGACGTGACTTATGTGGGATTCACAAATCTGGTAAATATTAATAAACAAACTTACTGTTTGAACTCAAGAGGATAATCCCTGGATTTGTCACTTATTATGGATTCACAGTTTAGAGAGGGACCTCTGGGACTCCTTGAAAAAAAAGTTCCAAATACAACATTTAAATTAAAGTGTAACAAAATCCCTAAAAGAAAACATTAGAGCCAGTTTGTATTAGCAACAAGCCAATCAGGGAAATGCGATTCTTAAACCAGGTTTATTTGCAGAGCATAATTCCTCAACAAGGTGTTGGTGAAATGTGTTTTACATCATAAAAACGTCATGCAGTCATCATTTATCAAACAAGCAGTAAACATTACATTTTGTCAATTACCATCATCAAACTAAAAAAAACAATAAACTAAAATATATTAGGTTATACAAACTTAAGTTAGACTTTTTTATGATACCGTATAAGAACTCAATTATGTTGTCTTGATAAGTGCCTCAAAATATCTTCTGCTGTGAATTGATGCATCATAAATTGGTTTATATTTGATAAATTAACTCACTGTTTGAACTCAAGAGGATAATCCCTAGATTTGTCACTTTTCATAGATACACAACTTGGAGAGGGACGATCAGACCTAGAAAAAATACAAACAATAAAGATAAACTTTTTTTTACTTGATCGTTGTATTTAGATATTTTTATAATACAGACGTAATACAATCTATATTATAGTGAGATTTAATTATAGAAATTTAAGGTGAAATTGTTCATTTGTATTGAGAACTGTATAATTTACCATACTTTTTGTGAAGTACATAGAGAAGATTTATATATGCTTTATAATTCTCCTTAATATTCAGTTGATGAACTTACTGTTTGAACTCAAGAGGATAATCCCTGGATTTGTCACTTTTCATGGATTCACAGCTTGGGGACGGACTTCTTCCCTGATTAGAGCTGAGAAGAAAATTTAAAAAACAAGCTCAGACAAAGGCAGATGAAGCTTAGAGCAGAGCTAGTAAATATACATTTCAGTCTGGCAAAAAGAAAAAAAGATTGACCTTTCAAATAAGGGAGTAAAAAAACAAGAGAAAATTATATATTTTAATTGAGATATATTTATATACTTTCACTAAATGGATTTGATATAATTTAGCTGAAATAAATGTAATTTAATTGTAGAAAGTAAACATGTCTGAATTTTATTAACATAAATTTACCATGTTTTTCTTAGAAGTTGCCTAAAATTTCTGCAGGTTAGATTGCTACATTATAAATAATCTTAATAGGCTAATATCCAATAGCTAAACTCACTTTTTGAAGTCAAGAGGATAATCCCTGGATTTTTCACTGCTTACTGACTCACAGCCTGGAGAGGGACATCTTCTCTGGTCAGGCCTGGAAAAACAAGTTAGAGAAAAGGTTGTCAGAGTTTGAAGCTAAACCATAACAAGGAAAACATAAAACAAACTTGAATTTTGAATATAAGTTTGTTTAGGGCATCGGTAATGTAATGAATTTAAAGGTGCACAAACATGATGGCTTGACCACTTTAAAGGTGGACATTCAGTCAGACATTTCAATAAATGATAAGCGGGTGTAACCAGTAACTGTATGGATGATTTATACAACAGTGAAAACAGTTAAAAGTGGTGAGTACTGTTGTTTTGAATAACTAAGTTTAAATCTCTTTGATATTTAGATTATTCGATGTACCAGATGTACTTGAATGCATCATAAAAGTGCAGCCTTTTGGAAATTGCCTCTAATCAGAGGGACTGGTTATTACACTTCTACTGGACTATTGTGTCCTCTCATATGTTCTGCAGTATTTTGAACTGGATGAATGCTACACTAACCTGGATTTGGCCTTTAACTGATTTTTCTCCAGTACTGGCGATGTTTACGTTCAGTTTGACTTTGTTTAAGGTGAGTAACTCAGTTCAGTGTGGAGCGAGTTAAAAGAGTGAAGGATCATTTATATTTCTCTTGGAAAAGTAACAAGAAATAAAATCTTTATTTCTTGGCAGCCTTTACCCTTTACCACTAAGATTAAATAAAAGTTTTGATTATTCATCTTACCTCTCATGTTTGTTCTTCTTCATATAGTCCTCAGTCAAGCCATCGTTCACAGATAAACATGTTTTTCTTTTTTCTTGAGACAAACTCATGGTTGGATCATCTTCACCAACTTTCATCCTAAAAGTAGAATGACTTGGGTTATTACAAGGAAAGCTTTGGAATCTTGACTTTCTTGTTTCTCTTGTCTACTTATAGCCATAAAAAGAGAGACTGTCTTCAGGAAGCATTGGTTATTCCCACCTGTTTTTAACTTGTTTAAAATGACATTAAATCAAATCAAAGCCAAAATTCACCACTATGGAAATATTGTATGACCAGTATAAATTAATCTATTTTTAAGACAGATTATTTTATGTTTGGAAGATTGATGAAAGCACAATATATCACAAAACCATAATACACAACTTACACAAAGCCATTGAACCTTATAGATGGTTATATTTAATAGAGTCAAATTAAATATATTTATTCAAGGTATTATCTAGGGTAGCATGGAGGTTTCAGTACAGAGATAAAGACAGACATTAATGAGCTCACAATTAATCACAAGAAGTTCAGTTAACAGGTTGAACTGCAGCAGAGGGAAGACGATCTCAAACATTTAGATATCTTTGCTGCCACCTACTGAGACCATTTTAAATCACAAGTTAATCGACTCACGATCTGAAAGTTGGTAAACCATTGTCCTCATGTTGTCAATGTTTGTTAATCAGACAGTTAGCCGTGTTCTGTCATAATCATATCTGAATTTTTCATATTCACTCTTGTTATACCTTTGTATTTGTTAATCTCTATCAAATTTGGTGTAGCCTAACAGTGTGATCTTTTTCATCATAATTTAGAAGTCAGTATCTTGTACGGTAAAACTGGAAGCTGTATTCAATCACAATCAGTCATGACGCAACAGTTATAGTTTTTGTTGTATGTTGGGAGTTTGGAAACCCTTAATCTTATTTTGTAGGCAATTTAAAAACCATATAATATAATAAATAAACTAAGAACTTACTTTGCCTGTTTCCATGAGAATCACCTCAGACCAACCAAGAGTGTGACTGAAAGCTTGTCGCAGTGAACACCTGGCTTACTGGTTTAAACAGCTTCCTTTAAACAGGTAGAGCAGCTCTGTGGTGAAAAGTGAGTTGGTAGTTCTTCAAATTTCTATCTAGAAAAAAACTTCTCAGTTTCTCAAAACACAAACATTCTCTGTCCATATAATCAAAGGAATAGCCCCACATAGATATTTTCTGGGTGAAATATAGAGTGTCTCGGTTAGATGAATATGAAGAAAAACAATGGTGACTTTTTTGTTTTCAAAACATTTCCTCATTTCTCAGACGAGGAATTTCTCAAAGTTCATAAACCATGAAACGAGTCAACAGTTGTTACTGCAAGTTAGCAACCTTAGTGAGCTAGTCTAACCTGTTTCCCATAAAATCCCCTCATCAGTTTTCTGTTTAGAACAAAAGCATGCCTATGAGCACACTACGTACTTGAGTTTAACTTTCAAACAGTATGCTTTTAAAAAAAAAAAATCTTTTTCACAACTATTTTTCTTTGTTATGTTACTTAAAAGTAAATCAACCAATTTGGTTAGGATAAAAAATTCCTTGTGCAAGAATGTTGAAATAAGATATAAGCAAATTAAGATAGAACTGGTAAATTTAGTATTTTATGTTCTTTTAATGTTGATACAGTTTTAGCTCAATAAGAAGGTACTTATAAGAGTAGTTTTACTACTGTTCCTGTTTCTTTTACTTGAGTATTATTATTATTGTTGTTTAGAATGAATTTACTCCCCCAAAATAAGCCGATGCCCCCCGTTAAACTCACCTGGAGCCGGGGCTGCAGGTGGGGCTGCAGAGAGTCGCAGGGGCAGCGCTAAAGAGCCGCATGCAGACTTCAGGCAGCAGATTTGCTCATAAGATCTAAGATCCCATTAAATTTACGTTGTTTTGTGAGGAAGGTACAGACCTAAAGTTTGTTGTGCATAAGCTTTGTTATTGTAATGATATTTTCTGTCTAAAGACTTTGACTCTGCTGTAATATTGATTTTACAGAGCGATTGGTGAAAATTCGATGCCTGCAACAGCACACCAAAATAACTTTTATGTTACCTCTTCATAAATTGTGTTTGTGTGCACAAAACTTACGAGAAAAATAATTATTTATTTATTTAATAAATAAATGTGTCTGGATCCGGGGTGACAGTGGCTGTATGGCAGAGTAGTCATCTTGCAATCGGAGGTTGTAGGCTCGATTCCAGCTTCCTCCTGCCACATGTCAATGTGCCTGTGGGCAAGGCACTTAACCTCAAATTGCCTATGGGTGTGTGAATGTGTTTGTGAGTGCGAATAGGTGAATGTGACTTTAGCGTAAAGCGCTTTCAGTGGTCAAAATGACTGGAAAAGCGCTATATAAGTTGAATCCATTTAATTTTGAACATGAAAAAGTATAATATCATACACATGAACAAGCAACGCAAGACTCATATTTCTGTCCTATAATAATCTTAACATGCTCAAAAAGGAGGAGGAAGAAGTACGAAACTTATAAACTCATGCAATATTTTCAGATGGACTCTCATTATTAAATAAAATAAAAATAATTAAAAATAAACATAAGTTGAATAAATTTCCATTTTATCTGGATTTACATGTCTACATATATACAGCCGTACCCACACACACAATATCCTCTTACAAATCACATGTGAAGTAAGAAAGTAACAAGTGATTAATGCTCATATTAAACGGATGAGAATAAAGGTTTCAGCATCTTCATTTACTTAATGGAATATTTAAAAGATGCACCAGATGACAGCATTGTAGCCTCTCCATTAACGTTCATTATACATTCTCAATAATCTTTTCAGGCAGTTGCCCTCTGGCTGCTTGACAGAGAGAAACACAGTCAGCTTCTGATGCTGAAAGTGCAAATGTTGGTTGTTTCTTGCAAAGTCAGTTCAGTTTTCTTCCACACTGAAGAAATAGATTGTCTGTAGTTGAACGGCAGACATTTTGAGGTCCATTTGACAAGCATCAGCAAAGCCACCCAAAGTTTTGATTACTAAACAGTCATACTTGACATCAAGGTTCACTCTGCCTTTAAGTATCACAGCAGTCAGATGTGGAGCATTTGGATGTGCATTGGACAGTATTCTGTAGACTTTCTACTATGGATTGGTAAGTATTTGGATTTACAGGATTACTCACACCATCATGCTTTTCCACCTTGACACTTAGGCCAGCAAGTGTTGCAACAGGATGTTTCAGATGACAAAATAAAGATGCAGTTTTCTGATTGGTCTTGAACACCTGAGATACCCAGGATGTTTGGCAGCTCATCCATGAGATGCTGCGTTTAGTACAAAATCTACACCTACACCAGATGCCACAAAGCTATGTGTGGGAGTTGTGATGAGCAAAGAGAGATGCTCTGCACTGGCTTCAAGTTGTAAATAATTTAACAAATTTACAAGTTTACAACTTGTAAATATGTCATATCTTTAAAGTTTGATGCATGATACACCTTTGTACAGTAAATTTAAAAAGTCTATTTTGGTGTTATTTTGGTTTTAAAAACTATTGTTTAATTATATTGCATATTATTTTTCTTGTGATTTATTTAAGGGACATAGTCAGTAGGACCATTTCTGACTGTTCTAGTAGTTACAGGATAGTGGCCATCCTAATGTTAACGGGTTCAGGTTCTATTCTCAAAACAGGATACACAGGTTGAGTGAATTTGGTGTTGTAGGTGTGAAGGTAGGTCATTTCATCAGGGAAAACCCCAAAGAAAGACACAGTGCCACCAGGCCGGTCCACAAACACCCCGACTTTGTTTGAGGGCTCTACATAGATTTTAGTGATTTTGTTGTTGTGCAGAACAGAGAATCCTTCCTTTGAGCACAACAAAGCCCAGGACTGATCATTCATTCCAAGACCACAGCGATTACTTTGCCCTCTCCTTCTAATGTCTTTGTACGTCACTCCAATGGAAGCGTTTCCTCTCCACTCTGCCTCCCAGTAACAGCGACCAGTGAGACCATGTCTCCCCAGCAGCTCCTCCTCATTATCAAACCTTGAGAGCTTCTCTCCTTGTCCCACTGTCATTATTCTGTTAAATTCAGAAAGTGTGAGGTTTCTGTGTGTGGTGGTGGAGTCCAGGATGAGTTCAACGGCATCTGATGGAGAGACAGCGGCATTTCATTAAGAGAACAATTATCTGGATAGTGTGCATTGACGTTAACTTCTGATCTAAAACAGATTTTACAAAATCTAATGTTTTTTTGTTTTGTTTTTATTTCTATAAGATTTATTAAAAATGGGTTCAGTGGATAACTGCTCCGTATGCACTGTCACATGTTCTGTGTAGAGCCTGTCAGAAGCATACAAGACTCTCCCACTGAAGTTGAAATGTCCCTTGACAGTCACTAATAATGCCAATTTCAAATATGTGCTCTTTGTGTCTGACCCCTTGCGTCTGATAAGTAATTACATTGGGCTTAGCATTTTATTTCAAAAAGTGTAAAAGTAATAAAAATAAATAAAAAGTTAAAAATAATTGTTGCTTTTCACTCAAAATGAGAGCTACATGTCGGCTTATTTATGGTATCATAAGGGGATCATTCAAGAACTCCATTACCAATAACCAGCGAGTCATTGGTGAATCACAATTAACTTTGATGCATATCAGCATTAAAGAGAGATTTTTGTGTTACTTTCAAAATCAAGACCTTATCAGGATTAAATCTGTCCTTCTTAACAAACGCAGCCTCCATTTCTTACAAGAAGGAAAACAGCAATAGTACGCATGCTGATCTCCATAAAATTGCTGATGTATAAGAATCCAAAACTTCAACCCTGTGGTAAATGGCTTGTACTTGTATTGCACTTTAGAAAGTCCAGATGACCCAAAGTGCTAATATTTAGAAATTCATTGACTCTTTAAAACAATGATAGCAATAAGCTACTGGATTGTAACCAGTTTTCATGGTGCACACACTGAGGGGTGAGATTTCCATGCAGCGGTGCAAATGGGCCTGCTGACCACAACCAACATGCAAGACAGGTGAAGTGTCTTGCCCAAAGACGCAATGACAGAGGTAGAGGGAATCAAACCGGCCACCCACAAATTGAGGGACAAATTCAGTCCCACTATAGTTCAATCAAACGTCTCTCTCCCTTTGTTGGGAAACAACCAAAAGCAGAGACAACCTGCTGTCACAAGATCTACTGACTGGAATGACACAAAAAACAGAAAGAATCAGTTCTCAGCTAGAGCAGATCTGAAAAACTCATTTGGCTCTATTTTTGGTCTCATTGTAACTGGTCTCATAGTTTAATAAATATGTTATTTCTTCTCATTAAGACAATTACATTTTTTTCCATGTCACAACATAAGCCATCATACAAGCTGGCTTTTATTGAAATATCATATTTGACATTAATAATATTTTTTCATGAGCCGTCATGTATTTCTTAAAGATGACCATACTTACACTTGCTCAGACCGGGTTTTAAAAACTGTAATCCACTCGGATCCAACCTGGAACAACATCAGTCAGGTTAGATACATTGTGATTGCATGATTTGGTTTAGTATTGCACTGACATGAAACATTAATATATTTTTACATTCTGACATTTACTGTATTCTATTTTAATGACACCATGTTCCAAACCATTATGCAAGTGATATTTTCTCAGATTTTATTAAATGATCAATGCAAGTGATGGTAAGTATAACTTTCAAGTCATGAACTGTTACAGTATAAATCAAATTTTACTGAACAAACCTCTGCATGAGAACAGTATGTTTTCCAAAAATAAAAAACTCAAAATGCACTGTTCCAAATTATTATGCACAGCAGATTTTCTAAACATTTTATGGATCATAAAGAACTGCAAATGGTCATTCTTTGAATGTTAAGTGGTCACATGTACTAAAATGAAAATCTATTTCAATCAAAAACAGTTTAACATGCAGAGTTACATGTTAACATGGGACCTTTTCTTTGATATCACCTGCACAATCCTTACATTCATTGAACTTGTGAGTTTGTGGAAAGTTTCTGCTTGAATTTCTCTGCAGGATGTCAGAATATCTTCCCAGAGCTGCTTTTTCGATATGAACTGCATGCCAGACTCAGATCTTCTGCTTGAGGAAACTCCAATCAATCAATTAATCAATCAAATTTTATTTGTATAGCACATTTCAGCTACAAGGCATTTCAAAGTGCTTTACATCATAAACACAAAACAAAAAGGCATGCAACATAGAATAAAATACCAAGGTTTTTTTTTTCTTTTTTCTTTTTGTCACGGAATTTAAGCGCCTTTTACCGCCGGACTCCACCGTCCGTTCAAACACGGGTATTTGCCGGGCCCCGTTGCCCACAACAGGAAAAGATCTCAAAAGACTCTCAATAGGGTCAGAGGTCAGAGGAGGATGGCGACACACCATGAGTTTCTCCCCTTTTATGCCCATAGCAGCCAATGACACAGTGGTATTCCTTGCAGAATGAGGTAGTGCATTGTCGTGCATGCAGATGATTTTGCTACTGAAGGTACGGGTCTTCTTTCAGAACCATGAAAGAAAGTGATCAGTCAGAAAGTCCATTTTCACACCTTCAGGGCCTCTGAAGGGGCCGACCAATGATTCTCTCCCCATGATTTCAGCCCAAAGCATGACTCCACCACTTCCTTGCTGACGTCACAGAAGTGTTGGGATGTGGTGGCCATCCACCACCAATCCACTACTGCGTCCATCTGGACCATCCAGGGCTGCACAGCAGTCATCAGTGAACAAGTCTGTTTGAAAATGAATCTTCATGTACGGCTGGGCCCAGTGTGACCGTTTCTGCTTGTGAGCTCTGGTTAGGGGAGCCTAATAGTCGGTTCATGCACCACAAGCCTCTGAAGGATCCTCCACCCAGAGGCACCAGCAGCTTCAAATAACTGTTTGCTGCTTTGTAAAAGCATCTTAACAGCTGCTCTCTTAATCCGATGAATTTGTCTAACAGAAACCTTCCTCATTATGCTTTTATCTGTACAAACCCATCTTTGTTCTGAATCAGCCAAAAATTTCTTCACTGTACGATAATAACACTTCAGTTTTTGTTAAATACTTAATGTTTTCATAACATGTCATATGGCACGACACTATCTGATGATTTTTGTCAGCAGAGGTCCTTTATCTTTCTCATATTACTTGAAACCTGCAGCTTGCTTAATAATGTAGAACATCCTTCCTCAGTAGATTTCCTTTAATAGAGCTACTCAGCCAAACTAATTAACCAGCTCTCTGAAATTAATTATAAAGAGCACATAAACACACAAAATCATCTACAAATTTGATAACACAATAAAAAATGCAATCTTTATGATAGTTAAATCTAATTTGCATAATAAATTGGAACATGATGCCTTTAGTTTGTTTAAAAAGATCATAGACTAATAACAAATAGACTTTATCTAATGCACATCCTTATTGTTACCTAAGAGTCTCTAATGCCCAGTCTGGGTTGTCCACTCCAGCAGAGAGGAGAGCCACTCCATGTTCTTCTGGGTGATTGTAACTCAGGTCCAACTCTTTGAGGTGAGAGGGGTTAGAGGCCAGAGCTGATGCCAGAACTTCACAACCTTCTCTTGTGATTAAGCAACCTGACAATCTATATAAACACAAATATAAACAATTAATGTTATTACTTCTTGTTGCAAATTCAGGTTTTGTGGTTCAGTCATCATTGTGTTCTATATAAATTCTTCCTTTCCCCGTGTGTATATCTTTCAGCTCACATATAAAACGGAATATTATGTAGATTTACACTAAACATCAGATGAAGCAAATATTAAATTCAGAAACAATGTATAAAGAGTACAGTTTGACCCTCAGAGGGTTGCTGGTTCCCTTTCCTCAATGTGTTTGAGAGCCATTGGACAAAACACTAGCAGACACTAGCAATGCAAATGCTGAGTGAACTTTTAAAACCTCTCAAATAAAAAAGAAAACAAAAAGTGCAAACATCATCAGATGTTGATGCTGAGCATGCTGTAAAAAATATGTATCAGTACAATAGCATGCATTGCACATGTCAGAAAAACAGAGAGTCCTCCCCTCCATCCTGGAAGTTTGAATTTGGACATTTTGTGGGTAAAGTTAAAACTGCCTGAGCGTCTGCTCCAAGTGGTCAGGTGCTCGACTCCTAATCTCTCAAAATCAAAATTGATTAGAAAAACTAATCAAAGTCGGCTAATATTACTTTAATGTGATCTCTGGTTCCACTACTTCCATCCTGAGATGGTGAGCCTCTCACTGGCCACTCAGACATGTTTTGTGCTTCTGGTAACATACAGACCCACCAGTGGAGAGGAAAACTTGTTACGTCAGAATTTATTCAAGACAATGTGTTTCATTTACTCTTCTGTGAATTAACTCTTTAGTGAAAAGCCAAAAACTATCTCAAGCATTATTAAAAGCATTTATTGTGAAATTGAATATTATTTCAAGTTTTGCCTTTTCCATTAACCATTTCTAATGCAATACTATAAAATGTGCATAAAACAGCTGATGAAAAAACATTGATGAAAAAACATCTACTGAATCCAAAGTTGCCTGTTGAAACGCTGAACTGTTGAGTGAATGTGGAAACATTGTGAGGATGGACAGGGCAGAACAGGGCCTGAAAATGACGCTATTATAAAACATTTAAAAGGCATTTTGGTAACTAACAGATAAGAACTCACCTTAAAGTTTCAAGTTTGCATTCTGGTTTGGAAAGTCCTTCACACAGCAGCTTCAGTCCTGAATCTTTTAGGTCGTTGTTACTGAGGTCCAAATCTTTCAATAAACCTAACCGACAACTGAGGATAAATCCCAGAAGCGGGCAGCTTTTCTCATTCAGGAAAGAGCAACTGAGTCTAAATACAAACATGAATAAACAAATAAATAAACAAAATGTTCATATAAATTATTTCAGTGCAAGGAATGTGTGGTTGTGTTTTGACTTACACAACTTTAGTTGAGTTTATTAAGAGTCCTGCAAAACCCCTTTGAGCCTGCTCTGATGTATAATACTTTCTTACATCAAAGTTTTTCTCATAATCGTCTGAAGACAGCAGACTGTGGATCAATGTTGCCCACTGAGCTTCAGAGAAATTTTCTGTCTCCAGTTTTCCTGATTTCAAGATTTGTTCAATCTCCTTCACTAAAGAAAGTTCCTTCAGTTCATTTAGACAGTGAAATAAATTGGCTTTATCAAAGGGACACAGAATCTTTTCAATCTTCTCTTTGATGTACAGAACGATGTTTTTCAAGGAACTGCTTGATGTTTTTCTTTTTGTCACAAAGCCTTTGAGGAGCCTCTGATTGGTTTTCAGAGAAAGACCAAGAAGGAACCTCAGCAGCAGATCCAGTTTGCCTTTTTGATCATCTGTAGCTTTCTTGGTAGCTACCTCTGTTGAGTTCACTGGAGCGTTCTCAGTAGCTTTCTCTATAGCTTTCTTGTAGAAGTGCTCAACTTGTTCTTCAGACATCTTTGACCCAGGTGAGACTGATTCCTCTTCTGCCAGCAGATTGACACCAGTTTTGATGAACGTCAGATGGACGTGAAGAGCAGCCAAAAACTCCTGAATACTCAAGTGGACAAAACAGAACATGTTCTGATGGAAAAACCCCTTTTCCTCCTTAAAGATCTCTGTGAACACCCCTGAATACACTGAGGCTGCTCTGACATCAATGCCGCACTCTGTCAGGTCAGATTCATAGAAGAACAGGTTCCCTTTCATTAACTGCTCAAAGGCCAGTTTTCCCAAGGATTTAATCATTTCCCTGGTCTCTGGAGTCCAGAATGTATTTTTGTCAGTGTTTTCATCATACTTGACCTTCTTCACCTTGGACAGAACCACCAGGTAGAGGATATACATCTCTGTCAGGGAGTTGGGTAGGTCTGCTTCTTCTCTGGCTTTAATGGCATCCTCTAGAACAGTAGCAAGGATCCAGCAGAAGACAGGGATGTGACACATAATGTAGAGACTTCGTGATGATTTGATATGAGACAGGACCATCTTGCTTTCCTCTTCCTCTGGGAATCTCTTTCTGAAGTACTCCTCCTTTTGACGGTCATTGAAACCTTGGATTTCTGTAACCAGATCAACAAACTCAGGGGGGATCAGATGAGCTGCTGCAGGTCGAGTTGTGATCCAGACTTGAGCTGAAGGAAGTAACCTCCCCTTGATAAGGTTTGCCAGCAATACCTCTAATGATGCGGACTGTGTAACATCTGTAAGGACCTCTTTGGTTTTCAGGTCCAGAGGAAATCGACACTCATCCAAACCATCAAAGATGAACAAAACTCTGAAGTGTTCAAAACTGCGGATTTCTGTTACTTTCACTTCAGGGAAGAAAAGATGAATAAGTTCAACCAAACTGAACTTTTTCCCCTTTACCATGTTCAGTCCTCTAAAGGAAAATGGAAATGTGAACTGGATGTCCTGGTTATTTTTTCCTTCAGCCCAGTCCAGTGCAAACTTCTGTGTCAAGACTGTTTTTCCAATGCCAGCCACTCCCTCTGTCATCACTGTTCTGACTGGTTTATCTCTTCCAGTGATGGGTTTAAAGAGCTCTTCACGTCTGATTGTTTGTGGGTTCATTTTTTTTCTGAGAGCTTTTTCAATCTGTTTCACTTCATGGTCACGGATGATCTCTTCATCTCGTTCCGTTATGTAAAGGTCGGTGTAGATCTTATTAAGAAGGTTTGGATGACCTTCTTTTGCAATTCCTTCAATCACATATTCCAGCCTTGTTTTCAGGTTGGATTTGAGTTTAGATTGGCATTTGGACATAACACTTTCTGCAAATGTGTAAAATGAGAAAACAAAGCATTAGATGCTAAGGAATTTTACATTTCATCTCTTTTAAAGTGAAAGAGGTTTCTCACTAATGAGGACACATATAACAGGTCTTTATTGACATTTCTACAGATTTAATAAAATTCTGAAATATCAGATAATTATTTCCAATGATAACAAAGCACCAAGTTAGACAGCCTAAATTAAAACTATTGGATGTTTTGTCATGAGTTTGAGGTCTGCATGTGCCCTAAATTAATTCAGATTAGAGTCTTTCTATTCCATGAGACTGTGTATCTATATTGAAGTTTATAATAAATTACAAACTACTTTGATAACTTCATAGAAAATTTATTAATATATTGAACTTTTTCATGAAGCTGTTCATTCATGTACATCCTGTGTACTTTAAAGAAATTATTGTACGAATGTTTGGATTTATTTCATACCCCACAATACTTTGTCTTAAACAAAGCAACTGGATCTAAACATCCATAAAAAAATGACAGAAAATTTTCAATTCTATATCTTACTGTTTAGTAGAGCAAAGGCCAACTTTTCTTGCTTCATTCTTCTCAAATGCTTCAAGATCATCTTCAGAAAAGCTTCTTTGGTCATTTTCTTCTGCTCTTCCTCCTTCCAATTTAAAACCTCTTCATTTTCTTCTTGGTTATGAACAGTTTCTCTGTTTAAGAGCTTAAGAAAATTTCTCAGCTCATTTTTAACAAAGACAACAATGTTCCCCTCAAGATTCTGGAATAAAACAGAATCGCAATTACATTTGTTCGAGGGAGAAAATTAGAAATTAATTTCATCCCTGACAAATGTTAATATATTTCTCAATTAAGCTGAATCAGCTCTATTTACTATTAATAGTGATAATGCTAACTGTAATTTCTTCAGAAATGCAAAACAGTGCTGAGAAACAAAATCACATGATATTTTTGCTTTTTAGTCTCATTTAAATGTTTATGTGAATCAAACACGTTAAGAGCAAACAAAGACCTGAGCAAATATATGTCATTTCCAAATATTATGTATGTAAACCAACATAAAATATTGATTGCAAGTTATTACAAAAACCTAATAGCAGTTGTTGCTTAAATCATCATCAGTTTAAATCATTTGACTCTGTATTTTGCACTTAGAGAGGTTATCTTCCATGTAAAAATTGCTTTATGACATGAAATATTTATCTGATACAGAAAAATTAAAACAATAGAAACCTGAAAGGAGCCAAATAATTTCATAGATAACTATGAATAAATTTATAGATACCCAAGTTTGCTCAATTATAGTTACTGACCTTAAATATTGTGTCCATGTCTTCCTTTGGGGGGATTCTGAGTTGAGATCGAAACAAATCAAAGACATTTCCACATAAGCAACAATTTATGTAGTTAAATTTGCACTTAAAAGCACATAATCAAGACTGCATCATAAAGCAATATTCACATCCCCAGAACTATGGACATGTTACACCAAAAACTTCAATGCAAGATCTTCTATTTTCTAGATGAACACAAAGTAGTGCATCATTGTGAAGTGAACAAAGGGAGAAATCTGAGAAATTTAATGCAGGGCCCAGTTATAAAACATTTAAAACAATAGCTTTGAACATCTCAAATATCCATTTAAAATCAATCTAAGATGAAAAATAAAATGACAGATTACATTACATTCAACAAGTAAATTTTCTGTGAAATTCAAGATTAATCATTTGTTGCAAATTGTGATGTTTGTTGTTTCAGATCCTGAAGCAAAGGAAGCAATGATGAGTTATGGACAAACTGTTACAAACATGCATTAAACCTCAGTAAGTGTCTAAAATGTTGATATTGTTACAAGCAGATTGTCATTAAAAGTATCTTTGGTTAACAAATGTCATTCAGCATTTTTACCTATCAGATTTGAGCTGCTGGTCTTCAAGTTCAGAGAGTTTGGTCACATGTGATTCATCTTTGACCTTTGATGGGTTTCTGACAGAGTGACCTTTACACAAGAAAGTCAACATGCAGGATCAAATTATTACACTATAAAGACGCTTGATCAGTTTACATAACACAATCTATCTTCAGATTATATATTGGTTTTCATCTGCCAGGTCATCATGTGGAAGAGTCACTTTTAAAGATTTTAACTTGGTCAGGCCATATTCAGAGATATGTCTGCACATTGAGCCTTTTGCTTTTCTGCATGTGATGTACATTTAGCTATTCTACAGGCTGCTGTGAAATACTGCAGTGATGTGTTCAAAATCACTGTTGTGCAACGTTTTGCTTTACCTTTTAGCAGGCTGAAGTGTTTTTTTATTATTATTATTTATTATTATTGCATAATAAAAGTTCCTAGCAGCTCTGTGTGATTGAAGAACTTGGCTGTATGTAATACATTAAGGGCTGCCAAATTTGTTATAATTCTAATTACTTATTTTTCTGGACAAAGTAACTAAAAAATGTCTAGTTGATGAACATAATATTTAGTTGAAAAAAATCATTGTTGTACAAACAAAGGAAAAATGTTCTCCTACTGGATGATAGAGCATCAGCAAAGTCTCCGAGTTTCATCATCCTCAAAAATTCCCTCAGGAAGTTTGTGACCTCCTCTTCTTCTCCGGTAAAGATCTTCTCTGTTTCCTCACAATGAAACACGTTTTCGACCACATCATGTGTCCAAAGGCGTTTCGGGTAATTGGGAGTTAACAGCTGATGCAACTTCTTCAGCTCGCTCCGTACAAGAAGAACAGTTTCCCTCTCAAGTCTCTGCAAGCAAACATGTTAACGTTAGAGTTTTGAATCACTTATATAATATAATTATGTACTATTTTTTATATATATTTGTGATGCATTGTTTGAGAGAAAACATGTGAAAGAAAATCAAAAGACAAAGTATAACCAGTCTTTCCACATGATTATTCAACTGTTGTATCAACAACTAATTTTTTACATGCAAAATAATGGTGGCATTCATAATGTCTCTTAACCCAGAGCATTTCTCTGTTCATTTATGGCAAACTGGTTTTGTATAATCTCTTGATTCTGAGGTTAATGCCTTACTGTGTGTTACACCCTAATCCAGAAATAAATACATAAAATAAAGTTTTCAACTGTATTTTCATATAAAACAATGCCAAAACAGACACATTAAAGAGTTTTTTGTCCAGGAAGGATGATTTTCTCTGGATCCTGAGTTGTTTTAGTTTACATTTTGATCACTTCTTATTGTTGCTTGTTCTTATTAGTTATTTGCTTTTGGTTTTGCTCCGTTTATACGTTTATTTCCACATATGTTTAGAGTTAACAGTGTAATTTCATTCTCTTTGTTCAATTATTTTTTAACTTCAGTGGATTTATGTTTTGCCAGCTCCCCATTTATTGTTTTCTCACTCATAGGTTTTAACCAATAAATAAATGTTTATGTTCAACTGTTACATAATTTTTAGTGTGTATAAAATGATAAAAAAAGACTAGCACACCACTAACTATTAAAAACCAGATAGACAGTTTATGCTTCGCAGTCCGTTTCATTTTGAAAATGTTACCTCGAAGACTTTGTGACGGTCTCCATGGAAACTGCTGGTCTCCTCTAGTATTTTGTCATCAGATCTGTGGAGAGTCATTATTCATAGGTGTGTAATTTGGTTTTACATGAAACACAAATAAGTAAAGTATACAACAAATAAATGCCTGCATGTACGTACAAGAAGACCAAAATCAGCTACTAATTGTGCAGCAAACTAACGGTGTAGTTGAGCGCCGCATTGGGTTAACTCTGTGAATTTGTCAGATGTTTGCTTCAATACACTCCAGGCTGCTTCTTAGTTATGGGAATCATTGACTTATTCCACTTTAACTGTTATAACTTCAGACTTTACAGGACTGACACATACTGACCAGGCTGAACCATACAATGGTGCCAACAATAAAGTGACATCAACAGAAATTATGACCACCACTGGCGCACCAGTTTCCTCATACAGTTGTGGTCAAAAGTTTACATACACTTGTAAAAAACATAATGTCATGGCTGTCTTGAGTTCCCAATAAGTTCTACAACTCTTATTTTTCTGTGATAGAGTGATCAGAACACATACTTGTTTGTCACAAAAAACAGTCATAAAGTTTGGTTCTTTGATACATTTATTATGGGTCTGTTGAAAATGTCACCAAATCTGCTGGGTCAAAAATATACATACAGCAACATAAATTGTCAATTTTGGTGATGTAGAGAGTTGTGTCAATCAAATTAGCTTAATGTCATGGTCTCTTCACTTCTTGTAAGTGATTCTGATTGACTACAGTTTTTCACTTCTCATGAGCCCATTGAAATTGGGCTCATTTGACCCAGTGATCACTCTCAGCCTCAAAAGCTACAATGGGAAAGTCAAAGGAACTCAGTGTGGATCTGAAAAACGAATTATTGACTTGAACAAGTCAGGGAAGTCACTTGGAGCCATTTCAAAGCAGCTACATGTTCCAAGAACAACTGTGCAGACAATTATTCGCAAGTATAAAGTGCATGAAAAAGTAGTTTCACTGCCACGATCAGGAAGAAAATGCAAGCTATCACACGCTGCTGAGAGGAGATTGGTCAGGATGGTCAAGAGTCAACCAAGAATCACCAAAAAGCAGGTCTGCAAGGATTCGGAAGCTGATGGAACGAAGGTGTCAATCTCCACAGTCAAGCGTGTTTTACATCGCCATGGACTGAGAGGCTGCCATGCAAGAAAAAAGCCCTTGCTCCAGAAAAGGCACCTTAAGACTCGGCTGAAGTTTGCTGCTGATCACATGGACAAAGATAAAACCTTCTGGAGGAAAGTTCTGCGATCAGACAAAACAAAAATTGAGATGTTTGGCCACAACACTGGTTCTTTGCAGAAAGTAAATGGGATAATGAAGAAGGAGGATTACCTCCAAATTCTGCAGGAAAACTTAAGACCATTAGCCCGACGGTTGGGTCTTGGGTGCAGTTGGGTGTTCCAACAGGACAATGACCCAAAACACACATCAAAAGTGGTAAAGGAATGGCTAAACCAGGCTAGAATTAAGCTTTTAGAATGGCCTTCCCAAAGTCCTGACTTAAACCCCATTGAGAACACGTGGACAGTACTAAAGAAACAGGTTCATGCAAGAAAACCATCACATTTAGCTGAACTGCACCAATTCTGTCAAGAAGAGTGGTCAAACATTCGACCTGAAGCTTGCCAGGAGCTTGAGGATGGCTACCAAAAGCTCCTAGTTGCTGTGAAAATGGCCAAGGAACATGTAACCAAATACTAATGTTGCTGTATGTATATTTTTGACCCAGCAGATTTGGTGACATTTTCAACAGACCCATAATAAATTTATAAAAGAATGAAACTTTATGACTGTTTTTTTGTGACAAACAAGTGTTCCAATCACTCTATCAGAGAAAAATAAGAGTTGTAGAACTTATTGGGAACTCAAGAGAGCCATGACATTATGTTTTATACAAGTGTATGTAAACTTTTGACCACAACTGTACATTCAAAGCCACCACACCAGTATGGCTCCCACTCATACCTAAGTGACAGTCACGCCCACCTCGACACACCCACCACCCAAGTGTCAAAGCTGTGTGCTCCTGTGTCAATCATAAGGCCCAAAGCAATGGAAACCCTGATGCAGGGGTCGGTAACCCGCAGCTCTTTAGCGCTTTTAAAGTTCACCGTAATCTGCGATGAAATAAAACATATGAAACAAAACTTCCACAGGTTGGACGTATTTATACAAAATCTGCTGAGTAATAAGTACGTGATGTAGAATCGATGTGCGCATTACAACACGGTAGGACAGAGTTACAGGAAGCACAGATAAACAGAACACCTTCCTCTGCAATAATGCCTGCATTATCAAAAATATCCTACCAAAGCTCTTGAAATGGCAAAAAATGTGTTTGAACATAACAATGAAGCTTTAACTCACCCTGAAAGTGAAGAACCTTTAAAATTACTGGGGTAGTTCATTGACTTCTCACTCTTCAGGGACACAATGCTGGGTGTGGAAGAACCTTTAAAATTACTGGGGTAGTTCATTGACTTCTCACTCTTCAAGGACACAATGCTGGGTGTGGAAGAACCTTTAAAATTACTGGGGTAGTTCATTGACTTCTCACTCTTCAGGGACACAACGCTGGGTGTGGAAGAACCTTTAAAATTACTGGGGTAGTTCATTGACTTCTCACTCTTCAGGGACACAACGCTGGGTGTGGAAGAACCTTTAAAATTACTGGGGTAGTTCATTGACTTCTCACTCTTCAAGGACACAATGCTGGGTGTGGAAGAACCTTTAAAATTACTGGGGTAGTGCATTGACTTCTCACTCTTCAGGGACACAATGCTGGGTGTGGAAGAGTTTCCCGTTTTATTTCCAGTACTGTTAAAAAAGAAAAAAAAGCTTCATTGCCAAAATGAATGAGTAGGACAAAGATGTTTGATTACAAAATTTCTCAAAGAAAATTAATTAGCAGAAATTTAGTATTTGGAACCAAGTTGATAATCCAAGAACTGATTATTATTCATTGTAAATCAGATTTCAGAATACTTGTTCGATTTCCTTTAGTTGGTTACAAAATAAGCTAAAATCACTACAACAAAAATGTAAAGAAAAACAGAAACATAAAAAGAAATAAGAGATGAAATGTAAAATTCCTTAGCATCTAATACTTTGTTTTCTCATTTTACACAATTTTCTTAGATCAATCCTCTTACCTTTGAGGTCTGACCTGTGTGCCGTTTTCACAGGACAGACCATAATTTATGGGCACAGATGCCTCCTTGCTTTCCTCAGACTGACTCATTGTAAAGTTTCCTTTAGAAAGATAAAACACTGCATTAGTTACAGTCCTTCCTTAATGTCATGTCAATGTCTCGCAGACCTGGACGTAACGCGACTATGTCTGAGGTTTACAACTCAAAACGTGAGAAAATGGCAGAATTTTAATAAATACATTAAACCAATAAGGCTCCTCGTCCTTCTGTCTTGAGGTTTTATCCCCCAGCCATCTTTTAAAATTATTTTTTTATATGTACTGATTGTCACCTTGGAGATTTGGGTTTTGTTTTCATTTGTGCGTTTGTGTAACAAGTCTTACCATATTTATCTCATAAGCTGTTGAGTAATATATTAGTCCCTTTCTGTTTACTACTGTTCTGTTATTTTTTTATTACTTGTTGGACTTTTTACTTTTGGTTCCCCAGTCTGGTCAATAATCACATCCCCAGTATTTGAGCTCCTGAATTTTTGTCATTTGTTCCTGGATTCTTTTGTCATCCAGTCAATTTTTCTGGACCTGTTTTCATGCGGTAAGTTGCTCTTGATATTCCACATGAAAAAACAACTACAGTCGGTTTTGCACTTGGGTTTAATTATCAACAAATGTGACAGTGGCATTAATTAAATAACCCTGACCCTGATACATATTTATCTGCTGATGAGTAAAATAAAAAATGTCTGGATTTTTGTTTTTTTCACTTCTTAGAAAAAAAAACTCACAAATAATCACTTAGAAAAATAGCTCTTCTAATGCCAGGTTATTTATTTTTCGCTTTCTCTTTGCACTTATTATTTCGGATGAAAAATTTTATGTGAGCTTCCTCAACATATCAGCCTCCATATTTCTCTCAAGGTCTTTCATTGTTATATTTCTACCTCAGGACAGAATGAAAAAATTTCTCAAACAGTTATAACTCAATACGTTTTTTGTTTGACCACACAGGATAGAAAATGAAAGACAAATAACACATTTAAATATATCTGACAGTATGTTTGCTGGTTTCTGTCAAATTGACAGTTTCCTTTTGAGAGCTATTTTCTGAAAATGTATAATTAGTTGTCATTTATGTAATGAGACACACATATATAAAAGATAAAAACAGAATAAAGCCAATGTTACTTTACCGTGTATGTGTCCATGAGAGACATGCAAACCACACCGAGAGGTAAATGAAAAATACTTTGTTTCCTTGTTCTCTTCCCTGTAAAATATGTCAGCAAACGGGTCCTTCAGGTTTGGACTGAAGTCATTGGGTTGCCTGAGATTTAAATCTCCTGCAATAAACAGAAGTTCGACACAGCAGAGAAAAGTCAAACTGAAGTAAAAGATTGTTAAAATTAAACTTACAATTAATAAAGATTTATCAAATATTTAAAAAATCCAAAAATACATATGACAAACAAATGAAGTAAAGGATTTCCAAAGAGGATATTTTGTAAATTTACAACATTGCCCTGCTTAGAGTCTAAATCTACTTTTTACATAATCCAATGAAGTAAACTGAGTACTAGAAGTTTTTTAGGACAGCTATGAAAAGGACATTTTTAATAATCACTCAAATATGTTACCTCTAAAAACATTTGCCTCAGATGTATTTGGAAAAAAAGTGATGGATGGATTATTGTTTCTATAGATGTTCAGACATGTAGACTTAAAATGTAGCATACAAAATATCTAAAAATAAAATCTTGTGAGAAAAGGAAACTGTCTCCATATCTTGAAAAATATTTCTGGAACATTTATGTTTTGTGAAAACTAATATTCCTTCTAAAACAAAACATTATACACAGCCCTGATCATACTCTGCATCAGACCTCTTCAATATACTAAGCTAAATGTCGCATAAGTGTAAGTCTTATACATTCAAACTCCCCTGACAAATGAAGAAAACCATAGGATCAATATTTTTCCAAGAATTATAGATGTCTTGACTGGAAAGTCTCAGCTTTTTTTCCACATGAGACAACAATGGTGTCTTAGACGCGGAAGATTTTCGTAAGAATAAATATAATGCCACAGCTTGTTTGCTTTCTGTCACTGGAACGTTCTGGGAGTTGCTTTTAGCACCGCGGGAATGCTGTTCAACCAGAACCAAAGGTTCATGAGAACAGAAGTTTAGGATAGTCAAACATTCCAGGTGATATTTACAGTACATTAACACGTCTGTCCTACAGCACCAAAAATGGTTTTAACTTTCAAATTTAATACATTTTACATCCAATTAGAGAAGGAGCCTTGTATCATTTGTTTTTCTTGGTCTCCCTCACATGGCTGCATAATTATCAGAGATGAAGCTGCAGTGACAAATGACTTTTTTTTATTTAATTTTTTATTTTACGCGTGCTTTATTGTGAAAATTGGATTTTTAGAGTAAAGTACAGAGAGGAATCTGTCAAATGTCAAGAAACTTTTAAAAATTTTTAAATATATTTCCTGCCATTATTTAGAGTATAAAAAATCTCCACAAGATGGTGCTCTAATATAATCCTTGAGATTGGCCCTCTGGTCATGTGGACAAAAGCCATTTTTTAGAATCTGGATTACATCTGAGATGTAATCATAAGCAATAACTTCCCACCACTGTGTGTGAACCATATTCACAAGCAGATGGGTGAAAAAAAGAGCTCATTTAAAAGCCTTTATGCATCCTGATTTTGTTTACTGTACACTGTAAAAACTGTAAAAAAAACAGCTACAAGATGGCTGCTGATAGCCATCTTGTAGTTTCTTTCATGGAGTTTAACATGTTAACTTCCATGTTTTATTAGCCATCTTGGATGCTGATTTCAGCAGCCAAATTGAAATAAAACACATCATACCAGACCAGTCTGAAATGTGAAATTAATATCCGTTCAAAGTGAGAATTTCTTCTCTTTTTTAAAAAAAAAATAAAAACAAAAGCTAAAAATAACCTTATGATTTGATTTCAGTTTGAAGGCTTCTTTAAAAAAAAAAAAGAAGAAACCATGTCAGCTGTCATGAAGCTGACAGCTACATCTTGTTGCTGCTTTCATGGAGTTTAACATGTTAACTTTCATGTTTTATTTTTTTTTTCTGCATAAAACCTGAGCTTATGAGTGTTCTGATTTTTAATTTTTTATTATTAATTTAACTCATGTCTGAAAGATTTACATTATTCACAGCAGTTTTTAAGCTTTTCTTCCTTAGGTAAAGGACTTAAAATTGATTTCAGTTTATATTGTCAAAGAATATCCATAATGTGGCTACATGGTCATATTCTGTTTTCAAATATGGAAAAAATAAACCTTACCTATGCAAAAAAAAAAGCTCTACAACAAGATCAAAAAAACAAGCAAACATTTTATTGAACATTGTAATGTACATCTAAACAGCTCATATCAATGTTTGAATGAAAGTTATATATTTAATCCAAATAACCAAAATATGTACAAGTAGCAAAGTAAAAAATAAAAAATGTCATACATCATCAGTGTAATATTTGGTGGTAGTTACATTAGATTCCCACAAATTACACAGCATGTCAGAGGAAACTCCCACCATGATGCCCAAGAAAGAATCTACTTCAACTTAAACTTGTGAAAGACATCATCTTCTCCAAAATCACTGCTGTTTGCATAACAGCAGGTTACAAACCAAAACTCAATTTAATTGTAGGCACAGTGCTGTATAATACACACAGTTATAACTTGAAAGGCTACCGATGTATTGTTTGATTGGTTGCTGTAAATTAGTAAGGAACAATACCATGTTTACAAGAATTAAATGATTTGTAATAGTTTAGTATCAGTAAATTCTAAACATTAGATTCCCACAAATGTGCAATTTGCCTATTTACACACACAAAAAAATAAAAAAACAACAGATATATTGTCTGGTTGATTTCCAACAAATTTCAAATATAAATGTTATTCTGTGGTAGAAAAGCTGTTCCAATCCTCATTCCTTCAAATGCAAACAGTGGAGGCCCTCAATGCTATTACTATGTTTAAATAAATAATAGCTCATCTATCACCTAATGTTAACGGGTTCAGGTTCTATTCTCAAAACAGGATACACAGGTTGAGTAAATTTGGTGTTGTAGGTGTGAAGGTAGGTCATTTCATCAGGGAAAACCCCAAAGAAAGACACAGTGCCACCAGGCCGGTCCACAAACACCCCGACTTTGTTTGAGGGCTCTACATAGATTTTAGTGATTTTGTTGTTGTGCAGAACAGAGAATCCTTCCTTTGAGCACAACAAAGCCCATGACTGATCATTCATTCCAAGACCACAGCGATTACTTTCCCCTCTTCTGATTTCTTTGTACGTCACTCCAATGGAAGCGTTTCCTCTCCACTCTGCTTCCCAGTAACAGCGACCAGTGAGCTCATGTCTCCCCAGCAGCTCCTCCTCATTATGAAACCTTGAGAGCTTCTCTCCTTGTCCCACTGTCATTATTCTGTTAAATTCAGATAGTGTGAGGTTTCTGTGTGTGGTGGTGGAGTCCAGGATGAGTTCAACGGCATCTGATGGAGAGACAGCGGCATTTCATTAAGAGAACAATTATCTGGATTGTGTGCACCGACGTTAACTTCTATAACAAAAATAGATAAAAAGTTAAAAATAATTGTTGCTTTTCACTCAAAATGAGAGCCACATGTAGGCTTATTTATGGTATCAACTCCATTCAATAACCAGTGAGTCGTTGGTGAATCACAATGAACTTTTATGTATATCAGCATAAAATGGTCTGTTAGAGAGAATTAGAGAGATTTTCCTCAAACACACTATGTTTACAAAAGATCTTTGGACTGGTTCTTTTCCAGATACCTCCCTCAATCTGACAACACTCCCATTTGGATTCAATGTGGCTTATGAAAATCACACTACATATTATGAGATACAATAAATACTATAAAAATATTTTTGTTCTTTGATGCTCGAGCCTATTTTGGTGTTACTTTCGAAATCAAGACCTTATCAGGATTAAATCTGTCCTTCTTAACAAACGCAGCCTCCGTTTCTTACAAGAAGGAAAATAGCAATAGTACGCTTGCTGATCTCCATAAAATTGCTGATGTATAAGAATCCAAAACTTCAACCCTGTGGTAAACAGCTTGTACTTGTATTGCACTTTAGTAAGTCCAGATGACCCCAAAGTGCTAATATTTAGGAATTCATTGACTCTTTAAAACAATGATAGCAATAAGCTACTGGATTGTAGCCAGTTTCCATGGTGCACACACTGAGGGGTGAGATTTCCATGCAGCGGTGCAAATGGGCCTGCTGACCACAACCAACATGCAAGACAGGTGAAGTGTTTTGCCCAAATACGCAATGACAGAGGTAGAGGGAATCAAACCGGCCACCCACAAATTGAAGGACAAATTCAGTCCCACTATAGTTCAATCAAATGTCTCTCCTTTTGTTGGGAAACAACCAAAAGCAGAGACAACCTGCTGTCACAAGATCTACTGACTGGAATGGCAGAAAAAACAGAAAGAATCAGTTCTCAGCTAGAGCAGATCTGAAAAACTCATTTGAATCTGTTTTTGGTTCGTATTATAACAGTTTAATAAATATGCTATTTCTTCTCACCAAGACAATTACATAATTTTTCTCTGACACTATGTAGCTTTTATTGAAATATCATATTTGACATTAATAATATTTTTTCATGAGCCGTCATGTATTTCTTAAAGATGACCATACTTACACTTGCTCAGACCAGGTCTCAAAAACTGTAATCCACTCGGCTCCAACCTGGAACAACATCAGTCAGGTTAGCAGAGATAGATACATTGTGATTGCATAATTTGGTTTAGTATGGCACTGACATGAAAGATGAATATATTCTCACATTCTGACATTTATTCTATTTTAATGACACCATGTTCCAAATCATTATGCAAGTGATATTTTCCCATATTTTATTAAATGATCAATGCAAGTGATGGTAAGTATAACTTTCAAGTCATGAACTGTTACAGTATAAATCAAATTTTACAAAACAAACCTCCGCATGAGAACAGTATGTTTTCCAAAAATAAAAAACTCCATATGCACTGTTCCAAATTATTATGCACAGCAGATTTTCTAAACATTTTATGGATCATAAAGAACTGCAAACGGTCATTCTTTGAATGTTAAGTGGTCACATGTACTAAAATGAAAATTAATTTCAATCAAAAATAGTTTAACAGACAGAGTTACATGTTAACATGGGACCTTTTCTTTGATATCACCTATGACACAGTGGTATTCCTTGCAGAATGAGATGGTGCATTGTCGTGCATGCAGATGATTTTGCTACTGAAGGTACGGGTCTTCTTTCAGAACCATGAAAGAAAGTGATCAGTCAGAAAGTCCAAATACTTTGCTGAGGTCATTTTCACACCTTCAGGGACTCTGAAGGGGCCGACCAATGATTCTCTCCCCATGATTTCAGCCCAAAGCATGACTCCACCACCTCCTTGCTGACGTCACAGTCGTGTTGGGATGTGGTGGCCATCCACCACCAATCCACTACTGCGTCCATCTGCACAGCAGTCATCAGTGAACAAGTCTGTTTGAAAATGAATCTTCATGTACGGCTGGGCCCAGTGTGATCATTTCTGCTTGTGAGCTCTGGTTAGGGGAGCCTAATAGTCGGTTCATGCACCACAAGTTTCTGGAGGATCCTCCACCCAGAGGCACCAGCAGCTTCAAATAACTGTTTGCTGCTTTGTAAAGACATTTTAACAGCTGCTCTCTTAATCTGATGAATTTCTCTAAGAAATTTTGAATCAGCCAAAAATTTCTTCACTGTACAATAATAACACTTAAGTTTTTGTTAAAAATCTAATGTTTTCATACCTCGTCATATGGCACGACACTATCTGATAATTTTCGTCAGCAGAGGTCCTTTATCTTTCTCATATTACTTGAAACCTGCAGCTTGCTTAATAATGTGGAACATCCTTCCTCAGTAGATTTCCTTTAATAGAACTACTCAGCCAAACTAATTAACCAGCTCTCTGAAATTAATTATAAAGAGCCCTGACACACAAAACCATCTATAAATTTGATAGCACAATAAAAGAATTAATCTTTATGACACTTAAATCCAATTTGCATAATAATTTGGAACATGATGTATTTAGTTTGTTTAAAAAGATCATAGACTAATAACAAATAGACTTTATCTAATGCACATCCTTATTGTTACCTAAGAGTCTCTAATGCCCAGTCTGGGTTGTCCACTCCAGCAGAGAGGAGAGCCACTCCATGTTCTTCTGGGTGATTGTAACTCAGGTCCAACTCTTTGAGGTGAGAGGGGTTAGAGGCCAGAGTTGATGCCAGAACTTCACAACCTTCTCTTGTGATTAAACAACCTGACAACCTATATAAACACAGATATATACAATTAATGTTATTACTTCTTGTTGCAAATTCAGGTTTTGTGGTTCAGTCATCATTGTCTTCTTCCTTTCCTCATGTGTATATTTTTCAGCCCATATATAAAAAGGGATATCATGAGGATTTACATTAAACATCAGATGAAGCAAATATTAAATTCATAAACAATGTGTGAAGAGTACAGTTTGACCCTAAGAGGGTTGCTGGTTCCCTTTCCTCAATGTGTTTGAGAGCCATTGGACAAAACACTAGCAGACACTAGCAATGCAAATGTTCAGCAAACTTCTAAAATATCTCAGAAAAAGAAAATGAAAAGAACAAACATCAGATGTTTGTAACATTGTGAGGATGGACAGGGCAGAAAATGACATTGTTATAAAACATTTAAAAGGCTTTTGGTAACAAACAGATAAGAACTCACCTTAAAGTTTCAAGTTTACAGGCTGGTTTGGAAAGTGTTTCACACAGCAGCTTCAGGCCAGAATCTTTCATGTCGTTGTTACTGAGGTCCAAATCTTTCAATAAACACCACGGATGAGTCAGAACTGTTTCCATTAGTTTATAGCTTTTCTCATTCAGGAAACAGCAACTGAGTCTAAATACAAACATGAAGTTAATAAATAAACAAAATGTTCATATAATTTATTTCAGTGCAAGCAATGTGTGGTTGTTTTTTTAACTTACACAACTTTAGTTGAGACTACGAAGAGTGGTACAAAACCCTGTTGAGCCTGCTCTGATGTATAATACTTTCTCACATCAAAGTTTTTCTCATAATCGTCTGCAGACATCAGAATGTTGATCAATGTTGCCCACTGAGCTTCAGAGAAATTTTCTGTCTCTAGTTTTCCTGATCTCAAGGTTTGTTCAATCTCCTTCTCTAAAGAAAGTTCATTCAGTTCATTTAGACAGTGAAATAAATTGGCTTTATCAAAGGGACAATTAATCTCATCAATCTTCTCTTTGATGTACAGAACGATGTTTTTCAAGGAACTGTTTGATATTTCTCTTTCTATCACAAAGCCTTTGAGGAGCCTCTGATTGGTTTTCAGAGAAAGACCAAGAAGGAACCTCAGAACAGATCCAGTTTGCCCATCTGTAGCTTTCTAGCTGCTCCTTCTCTGCATTCTCAGTAGCTTTCTCTATAGCTTTCTTGTAGAAGTGCTCAACTTGTTCTTCAGACATCTTTGACTCAGGTGAGTCTGATTCTCTTCTGCCAGCAGATTGACACCAGTGTTGATGAACGTCAGATGGACGTGAAGAGCAGCCAAAAACTCCTGAATGCTCAAGTGGACAAAACAGAACATGTTCTGATGGAAAAAACCCTTTTCCTCCTGAAAGATCTCTGTGAACACCCCTGAATACACTGAGGCTGCTCTGACATCAATGCCGCACTCTGTCAGGTCAGATTCATAGAAAATCAGGTTCCCTTTCATTAACTGCTCAAAGGCCAGTTTTCCCAATGATTTAATCATTTCCCTGGTCTCTGGAGTCCAGAATGTATTTTTGTCAGTGTTTTCATCATACTTGACCTTCTTCACCTTGGACAGAACCACCAGGTAGAGGATATACATCTCTGTCAGGGAGTTGGGTAGGTCTGCTTCTTCTTCTCTGGCTTTAATGGCATCCTCTAGAACAGTAGCAAGGATCCAGCAGAAGACAGGGATGTGACACATAATGTAGAGACTTCTTGATGATTTGATATGAGACAGGACCATCTTGGTGTCCTCTTCCTCTGGGAATCTCTTTCTGAAGTACTCCTCCTTTTGAAGGTCATTGAAACCTTGGATTTCTGTAACCAGGTCAACAAACTCAGGGGGGATCAGATGAGCTGCTGCAGGTCGAGTTGTGATCCAGACTTGAGCTGAAGGAAGTAACCTCCCCTTGATAAGGTTTGCCAGCAGTACCTCTAATGATGCGGACTGTGTAACATCTGTAAGAACCTCTTTGGTTTTCAGGTCCAGAGGAAATCGACACTCATCCAAACCATCAAAGATGAACAAAACTCTGAAGTTTCAAAACTGCGGATTTCTGTTACTTTCACTTCAGGGAAGAAAAGATGAATAAGTTCAACCAAACTGAACTTTTTGCCCTTTACCATGTTCAGTCCTCTAAAGGAAAATGGAAATGTGAACTGGATGTCCTGGTTATTTTTTCCTTCAGCCCAGTCCAGTGCAAACTTCTGTGTCAAGACTGTTTTTCCAATGCCAGCCACTCCCTCTGTCATCACTGTTCTGACTGGTTTATCTCTTCCAGTGATGGGTTTAAAAATATCTTCACATTTGATTGTTAGTGGGTCAATTTTTTTTCTGAGAGCCTTTTGAATCTGTTTCGCTTCATGGTAAGAGATCTCTCCATGTCCTTCCGTTATGTTGAGGTCAGTGTAGATCTGATTGAGAAGGGTTGGATGACCTTCTTTGGTAATTCCTTCAAAGACATATTCCAGCTTCGTTTTCAGGTTGGATTTGAGTTTAGATTGGTATTTAGACACCAAGCTCTCTAAAAAGCAAAAAATTAGAAATCAATGTATTACAGTTCATGGGAATTTACATTTTGCCTCATTAAAGTGAAGGAGAAGGTCTTCCTCTCCCCCTGATGAGCCCACAGATGCCCACAGATATGATTGGCATGTCTGTGGGCTACTGGTCCTAACGAGACTATAAGTGCAACTCCTAGTAAAGACATTTTAGAAAACTACTTTGAATTTCTGAAGTTTTAAGATTTTTGTCAGAATTGTACCTCATTATTTACGTCTTTTAGGCCTGAAGAGATTTTATAATGGAACAAAATGTTACTGACAACACTGCCAGTAACAAAACAATGACAACACTGACAACATGATCTAAACATTCAGGGAAGAAAAAATGGCATGAACAATTTTCTTCTATGTTGTAATCTTCAATATTGTGCTATATTTAAGTAATCTTACTGTTATGTAGATTAAAGGCTGTCTCTTCTTTCTTCATTCTCCTTAAAAACTCCAAGATCATGTTCAGAAAAGCTTCTTTGGTAATCCTCTTCTGCTCTTCCTCGCAGTTAACAACTGCTTCATCCTCATCTTCGCTATTCAGGTGATCTGAGTATAAGAGCTTATGAAAACTCTTTAGCTCGTTGTCAACAAAAGAAACAATGTTTTCCTCAAGATTCTGTAACAAAAAGTTTGAAATTTGAATTTTTAGAAGAAGAAAAGGAAAAACTAACTTTGGCCCTGACAGATATAAAAATAAGCACATTTTCATATTAAAGCAATCTGGATTAACAAACTAACTGTAATTTCTGGTCATAAACCAGCAAATAAATATGTAATGCAAAACATCACTGGGAAAAAGAAAGTTTTCCCTTTTCAAAATATTTCATAACATCAAACACATTTAGCCAGATTAGCCACAGACCAGGGGAATCAAGAAACAGGGCCAGTCTGCATTTATTGTTACTTATTAAGATGTATCTGGTTGCTCAAACTATTAAAATAGACAGCCTTTTTTAGACAGATCTCAAATATTAGTGCATTTCAAGAAGCTTCAAAATTTCAGCTACTTGTGACGGGATAAAGTCGTTATCCCAGTGGTCCACGATGATGAAACACACAGCAGTTTGTTCAACTCAAATAAAACAAAAAATGAACGTTTTCGAGTGGCCTAGTCAAAGTCTGGACATAAATCTAATTGAGATGATCTGTTAGCTCTACAAACATATTTGTCAAGCTTGAAAACTTTCCAGCTTGGTTAAAATAATAATATATATATTTTCCTTATAAAGTGGCATAGAAGATTGATCACCAGTAACAAAAACACTGAGTAGGTTTTGTCACCAAATAAAAGAATCATTTATATTTGGTGTTTGCATTCAATCAGGCTATCGTTGTTCCATGTAAAATTTGTAAATATTTTTTTCACTTATAACGTCCCTGACCTTAAATGTTGCTTCCATGTTTGCCTTCTGGGACGTTTTATGAGGAGTTTTTACTTTATTTCTGAAAAAAGATTAAAACAAGCCATTGTTATTTTCAGATAAGCATCAGTTTGTCTATTTAAAATTACACATTAAAACACAAAATAGAGCAGGTTTTGGTCACTGAATTACTTCAATTAACATTCAAATGGGAAGAACTATCAAAAGCAAAAATGAGACCAAGAGAAGATATAATCAATATCCTAAGCACATTTATTAATTAAGACATAGCCATGCAAAGCCATCCTTCCAGACTAAAAGGAGGCAAAGAGACAATAAATAGTATTAGAGGCCTAATATCATCCGATCTTAGGCCTCTGCTGCATCTTTCAAGCCTAAACTCCTCTGGGTTTTGCATTTGTAGATTAGATGTCATTGGAGCTTTTGAGATGCTTATCATAGCAATGTAAAAAAAAGTCAGAGAAAAAATTCTCCTGGCAGCACTGCATCCAAAACCAGGAAGAATAATTGTCCAAACATGCAAAGTCACAAAGATTTAATATATTGTGCAAAAGATTAGATTCAAGGGCAATAAAGCGCTGGGGTACCTTATCAAGCCTTGTGTCATTTTTTTATTTCAACATGATTATGAAAATTTTACTAAACATGTCTTTCGTACTTACTTGAAAAATGAGTGTTGTTGAGTTTTGCTGATTTTTTTGGATGGATGACTTGGTGTGTTATCTTTCCATTCACTCCTGATAGAAAAGAAAGAAAGATAAAAGTTTTGTTACATTTTTCAAGCCAGGGAAAAACTGGTTATTAAAGGGCAGTTAATAACCATTTTATAACTGTTAATAACCAGTTATTGACTGGTTATTAATAACCAGTTATTGACTGGTTATTAATAACCAGTTATTAGAACATTTAGAATTGTGGAACATTTCCAAATGTTCCACAATTAGAAATTAATTTAATCGTCTGAAAACAAAAGTTGCATGTGAATGCTTTTAGTTTTACACTTGAACGATTTATGCAACAATGACAGTTATGGTAAAAGTTCAAACTGTTACACACATATGTTAAATCTTATGCAGTATCAAAAATGTAATTATTATGACAAACAGATTATTTTTAAAAGCACCAGAGGTTAATGTGTGATACTAAATGCACTTTAGTATCAGTATTTGTTTTACATTGAAGAAATTTAAGAAATAATTGTTAAATTATTGCTTCAATAACTATTTAATCAATAATAAAAGGTAAGTAGTTTTACCTCTCATCTTTGAGCTGTTGATCATCATCTTCAGAGAGTTTGAATATTTGTGACTCAGCTTTATCCTTAGATGGGCTCATGATTGAGTGATCTTTACAAAAGAAAGCCAACATGTCAGATTAAACCATAACTGCAATAATGTTAGAACAGTCTGAATAAGTCTGTGATGATATGTGAGTGGAACGGTGGTGAGGCAGAGGCAGTAGACCCAGGTCGTGATGAATAAGATGATTTAATAATAACAAAATCCAAAAGTCCAGACAACAAAGAGGAGCGGAGAGCTAATGCTCTCAACTGGTGACAACTGGTTCGATTGGTGACAAACAGGACAAGGACCGGACAGAGACTCAGAGACACAAGTGACACTACATACACAGGAGGTAATCAGGGGAACGAGACACACCTGGGGATAATCAAGGAGAGACAGGACAACATGGAGACACAGAAAAACTCAAAATAAACACACCGAAGACTGAAACCATGACAAAGTCTGTAAAATTTTGGATGATATATGTTTTTGTTTGTCTTTCTATTAGTCCTATGTACGTATTTCCTCTAAAGATATTGAATTACACAAAATGTGTGCACACATCTTAGAGTATTTTGCCACCTTTTCTTGGCAAAACAAAAACATGTCCCTGCAAGCAGCTGCCATAAAGTGGTGATGAACTGTAGTTATTAGTTAATCCTGCAGACTGAATTGTAATTGCTGGAGGACATTACCAATTTGTGTTTCATTATGGTAATTTTATGGGGTTTTTTTCAAAAGTTGCAAATATTTGGCAAGCAATGTCTTTTCTCAGTATATCTTTGCTTCTTGTTCAACACAATGACACAAATATTGTCATATTTTGTATGCCAGTTTGCCTCCAGCTTTTCAAAAGTACCAAGTAACAACATTCAATAGTAAATAATTATATTTGCATGAATTCCTCCCAGTATTTTTCACTTTCGGATGATCAGTAAATATTTTGCATATTCACAAAGACAGAGATGCACAATTTTTCCACCTGTGATGAAAAACATCAGTTGTAATATAAAACCTCCAGTATTGTTTGTGATAATTCTAATTTGGGTCTAATTAATATTAAAACTACTAATTACATAAAGTGGACAAAGTCATTCCAAAATATCCTATCAATGTGTGAAAACTGTTTGGTTCAAAGAAATAATAATGTCCTACTGGAAGACAGAGTATCAGCGAGGTCTCCAAGCTTCATCATCCTCAAAAATTCCCGAAGAAAGTTCCTGAACTCATCTTCTCCACCAAAGATCTTCCTTCCTTCCTCATATTGCAGGACATTTTTAGTCACATTATGTTTCTCAAGGTGTTTTGGGTAATCAGTAGTTAACAGCCGATGGAACTTCTTCAGCTTCCGTCTGATGAAAGTTACAATTTCCCCTTCAAGTATCTGTAAACAGACAAGTTATGTTTAGATTTTTGACT